TTTCATAATTCCGCTCAAAACGATCCCAGAACAATGAATTTGCGAGACGAACAGGCCGCCATGAATCAGGTAAAGCAATATGTTACATGCAATTTGATTGGTCCAATCGCTTGTAGTTAACCAATCGCTGGGCCGTTTATAATCGAGCTAAGACTTCCGCAACAAATAATGCCTTCAGTGATCTGATTAGTTGAAGCTTTCATACACGTCCAATCGCAGGGCTGTTTACAAACGGAAAACGGAGAGACTGTTCGGGAGAGCTCGTGAAAACTCGACGATAAGGTATCTGACCGCCCCTAATTTTTTCTCAACGGATTTAGACGATTCACAAAAATGATCAATTTAAGAAATAAAACGGCGGATTTCCGCGGATCCGCGGAAAATTGCCATGTATGTTGATGAAAATAGGATGCAAGCAAATTGTCATGAGCCAACACAATGGAATTATCTCGAACAAAACATGTGTAGATTTTAATATTGGTTGTGGACACGCAACAGCACTTCTTACTCAGTCTGCATACCTTGTTTCCGATTAAGCTTGGCATAACCAGCCCCATAATCTCGACCATAAACTGATGAGCTGGTGAAGGAGCTATAAGGAAGAGGTGTGGCCAAACTGTCCTCACACCTTCCTAAAAGGACACAAAAAGATTTTCAATCAATGGATTGTTCAAGCAAGTCAGCATTTTAAGATTTACGAAACCCCCATGGTTTGTTTGCCAAGAGTCTTCATCTTTTCATACAACAAAGGTTTCCTCTTGAGTCGGGCGTTCGTCAGTCCGTTTATATTACATGACAACTACCTGCATGGATTGATATGAAGCAGAATAATTCTTATCATAGTACACATCAAGGTGTGCTTTAGCGCAAATCAGTGCCAATGTTGCTCAACTTTCAACGTCATTGATATTGTTGGGTTCTTCTTCAGATCACAAACAATCCGGGAATGAATCAGCAGTGCCTCTGCTGGTTTTAAACAAGTAGTGCAGTCCATTTTGCCTCAATTGACCCTTGTCAGGATAAGCAGATCAGATAATGGATGAATGATTCAAGATGGAATTTATCATCAGTCAATCTACACTAGCACATCATTCCTAACTTAATCATGTTTATTCCCGATCCTACTGTCTCACGTGCAGCACAATACAAACATCACCCATTGATGTCAGGGGCAACAAAACAGCACTCTGGATGCGTGAGGTCACAAATGGCAGTCATAAAAGTAATATTAAAAATATGAACAAAGTTATACCCTTCTCTCATCTCTATTGTGTTGTTCAGTGGTGAAGAACTGCAAGGATATTAGTCATAATTAAAGTGCCCAATTTATTGTCCCTGCAACATTTCGGTATAATTCAGTGCGATACTATGCCAGAATCTAAAAATATATGAACATCTTGTAGGTCAATTAAAAAAAAGTACGTCCTTATCATTCTAAATCCAGCAAAGTGACGTGGACTTGTATTTGATCTTATAACATTATGTAAGTGTATTTGTGTCTGGTGACTGTATAAAACTGGAAAGGCTTAAAAACAATGAACGTGTCGTCGTACAGTCATAATGCAGTTTCGTTTTCAGGCGTTTTAACCACGTAGAAAATTTGTGAAGTTGCCGTCACTTCATCGCCTCGTCATAAATCCCCAAATTAGCCAGTTTTGCTACCACGGCGCGTGTCGGCGTGTCTTGTGTTTTGAGCCCACTTACGGTAGACTGAGGACGCAGCTCTGCAGGGAATGATGATGCTACACAGGACTGGCAACAACAACTTGGTCACATGAGACATTTTTATGGGGAGACCCAAGAATCCGAATTCAAACGAGACAATAGAGCGAATCCGGGCGGGATGCTGCTGCTGATTTCCCTCCTCTTGACCGTCGGCGTTACAGCTCAAGACGTCACGAGACAATAGAGCGAATCCGGGCGGGATGCTGCTGATTTCCCTCTTCTTGACCGTCGGCGTTACAGCTCAAGACGTCGGCGTATTGATCAACACCGCAAAATAGAAGCGACCTACCACCGTGGCTGGGAACGTATTGTTTTTACCTCCTGTCTTAACAATTGAGGCGTGTGTGAGCGAGCACCGAGAAGACGATGTCGTTTAGGGGTTTCGAACCCCAGGCGCATGGTCACACAGACACTCAGGAGCTGTCCAACCGCGAAATAAACCAGCGGAGCATTCGATACACCCCCACCTCATCGATTCGCTTGGTACGGTCCAGACGCCGTGAGATTCAAGGGGGCCCAAAAAGTCCAGAGGAGGAGGTGAGGGGGAACAGAAGGGTCCACCCTGGCGCCCGAGGGAATAACACGCAAGCGTCAAGAGGTTTATTTGGTCGGGTTATTGCATCCTTTGATTGGCTGATCAGAACAAACATGGCGAGAACGGCCCGCAAACAGTATAGCTGATGAGAATGATGTCGTTGTGTGAAGGCTGAGGCCGATTCAATTCACCTTGGGAAGAATTTTCGACAGAAAATACCAAAAGCTATTGTTACAAAGGCAAAAAAAAAAAAAAAAAAAAATGAAGCTCCACATTAGCACATGGATTAGAAATCTTTTTTCTGTATACTAGTTGTTTGTACTTTTCAACAATTTGTATTTTGAATAGTTCCATGCAGGAGAGAGGGGAAAACAAAAGCAATACATTAACTGACTTTTTGGGGTTGCATTTATCATAAGAAACGAGCAACTGAATGAACATTACAATATATGATTCACACATTTCAGAGTGACTAACATGTGCATTGAAAGTCCACGATATACATTCCTATTTTGTCAGAGGCCAAGTGATGATTAAAAACTGTGTACAAGACAGAAAAAAACCCAATCAATCCTTGTTGCCATCACATTTCTAGTTCCGGCATGCACTTGTGCGGGTTCACCTAGTACTCGTAATCAGAATGCGGCGTCTTCTGCGATGTGGTCCGCGTGCTCTGGCTGCTGAGACTTATGTGTCTCCTCAGACATGGGATTTTCTTAACGAGCAGCCTCTTAAAGTGGCTCTGGAACTTTTTACCCACAAACGTGTAAAACACTGGGCTGATGCAACAGTAGATGTAGGCCACATTGCGGGTCACAAACACAGCGTAGTCCAGCTTGTCTGACTCGGCGCACTCCACATCCGGACCAGAGCTCTGTATGGCTTTGAGGAGGATGACCACGTTGTAAGGGGTCCAACAGACAAAGAAGGTAAAGATGATGACGAATATGAGCTTGACGGCGCGACATTTCTCCTTCATGCGAGTGGACAGCACGCGGACGGTGATGCAGACGTAGCAGTAGATCACCATGAGCAGAGGCAGGAGGAAGAAGACCAGAAACTGTTGATAGTAAGTGACCAGACGCCAGAATGCCATGGTGGCTTCAGAGTATCCCGACTCCTCACACACCAGCCCATTGAAGGGACTCTTCCAGACATTCTGGAAAACCAGCTCTTTCATACTGGCGATGATGCTGATGCACCAAACCACCACGGAGGAAATGATAGCGTAGCTCCTCTTTCTGCTCTTCGCAGCTGCCACCGCGTGCACCACTGCCAAGTATCGGTCGAAGGTCATGAGCGTGAGGAAAAGGATGGAGCTGTAGAAACCGATGAAGTAGGCGCTGCTGACCAACTTACACAAAACGTTCCCAAAAATCCACTGAGACAGATGATACGTTGCCCAAAACGGGAGACTGGTGGCAAAGAGGATGTTGGAGAGGACCAGATTGAGCAAGAAAATGTTTGTCACCGTGTTGAGCTTCTCGTACTTGTAAATGATGTACAGGACGAGGCCGTTACCAAGGTAACTCAGGAGGAAATTGACATAGTAGAAAGCTGGGTTGAATTTTGAGCCAAAATCATTGACATTCACCTTGGTGCAGAGTTTGACACTTTCGCTGTCCACATCGCTTGGGCGGTACGTCACGTTCCCGAAAACGTCCCAGATGTAAGAAAAGGGGTCTTCAACCATGTCCGCAGTTAGTGATTGTCCTGAGGCACAGTGATATTTGCAAATTATATTAGTTTATCATCCACCTTTTGAAGAAATATATTCATATTGCATACATTCATGTGCATGTAACATAAAATGTATCCTCATCACATTACCTGAAAAACTGTGGCAACATTACATGCAAAACCATAAAATGTATCAAAGTGCTGCACCGCAGTTCAGCTCAATGTCAAATTACCCATGCGAATTCATAAAGGAAACAAACAAAGGCTACAAACTATATTCTACACGTACTTCTCAGATGAGAAATCATTCCGAATATTTCAGCGTTGATCCAGATTTCGAAACCATCCAGCATGTTATGAGAAGAGTGTATTACGTTTACATTCCCGTTACTCACTCAAAAGGGAGAACAGAAACTGCTGACTCTGACAGGAAAACGTTCTGACTCCCCCGTCAGCTGTGCGATATCACTATTGACTTGTTCAGGAGTTTTAACAATAATGGTGAAAAGCAATGGGAATCATCCATTGTCCTGGGCTATTCTCATTTCCAGTAGAGCAATAGCCAAGCTTAAAGCTCACCATTGCAGTACAGTACCTTAGCATCTGTTTGCACAAACCTAAAGGCACCAAACTCAAATTATTTATACAGACAGGTAATCTGAATGTCAATCCAAAAGCAATACGCATTGTCACATTTTAGACCACATTTGTGTCAAATCATTTGGACGGTGTTTCCTACAGAGGCAACAACAGGCCAAATCATGACAATATTCAGTCGATCAAAAAAAGGGGCTTTCCTTGCACTTGGGTTTGTCTTCCGATTAAATCTTTTATCAGTCACACATATACAGTCATAAGAGTGCTAACTTTATCCTTCATAAATGAAAAAGGAGTAAGTGTGATTTATTATGAGGAAATAGGCAGTCAATAAGGCACATTATTTATAAGCAGTTTGGGTTTTGCCATTTGTAGAATGTCAGTGTTACTACTTATCGTGTCCTCCGCGGAGATATGCACACAGCAGCATTGAGGAAATTATAACCGGTGATAATAGACAGACAGACAACACAAAATTTGTTACAATTAAAAAACTGGAGTTTGTGTACTGAAGTCTTAAGTAGGCTTACGGACATTTGTATCACAACCATCATTCCTACTGGTATAAAGAAAGCTTGTTGGATGCCCAATTTACATTTTAATCAGAAAACCGATGAATGATCTCATGACAAAAGTCACTCTCATTTACTTACCAGTTCCGTTCTCCATGAGAGGCGCACAGGTCAGAGACCACGGAGAAGCACTTGAGTCGACGATTGCAGATCCAGACTTTGAAAGTCGGGAGGCCGGCACTCACAGGGGAACGTGAGCACAGACGAAATGTGTGTGCGTGTGTGTGTGTGTGTGTGTGTGTGTGTATACACCGGTGCCTGACCAGTTAACATTTCTTTGAAAATAAATAAATAAAGCAAAATACACAACAGACAACATATCTAGTAATATCATGTGAATAATACGCACCTTTTTTTGGAGGGAAAAAAAATAAAGATCCGAAATCCAAGGCGAGTATTGCACAGCTGTCCAGTGAAAAAAAAAACAACGAAAATGTTTCACATTGTCTAGAAGACCGTAGGTTTTTTTGGGGTTGATAGGCGTACTTTCATTCCAAAATTATATGTACTGTCCAATATTTCAAATTTATGTAATCTCAAATGTATATTATAAAATAAGAAGTCGTGTTGTTACAATTCCTGTTTTCAGCGCGGTCACAGCAGACCAACCCAACCAGCTAAATGAGAGCTTGCAGCCCCGATAAATCGTTACTGCTTACATCATTGATATTCTTCTCAGCACTGAGCTAATGGCAAAAAGTAACGTGATCTGTGTTCATACCTGCGGTTATAATAGTCCGTACGGTCGTGGATCAGTTAGCCGCATTCGCCCGCTAGCATTAGCAACAGTGACGCGCGGCACTTATGCGCGCGCAACGGCACTGTTCCATTTACATATTGTAGTCACCTAAAGTTGTAACAATTGTTTCTCCTTGCTGAGGCTGTGGAATTTATGTTAAATTTAAATGCCACTTTTCCATGTACGTTACAAAGTCGAATTATTTTTATGGGTACGAGATGTCGTCATTACCATGTCTTTGTAACCTGGTGAATCTGCATTCCGCCATTACGCTGCACACAAATTGAATAAAATGGGAACGGAAGTGAAGTCAGCTGAGCGTAAATGCTTCTAAATCCCGGTAAAAAACGTTGCCCCGCCTCATAACTTTGACTAAGGTCCTTTTTTTCGTTTTAGATATTTTAGAAACCCACTTTTATTTCTTTGCTGTTATATGTTTTTAAGGTTTATTGTCTTGAAAAGTTGTCAACATTTATTCTAGTAATTTTTGTGAGCTACTTTTGTTTTTTTCTGCTTTGCTTTTGAATGTTGTATTTGGAAATGCTTGTAGGTGGTGTGTCTTTGCTTGTGTGAAGCGCATCGAATTGCCTTTGTATGAAATGTGCTCCAGAAATAAAACTGCCTTGCCTTCCCTTTGAATATTTGGGCAGCAGACACAATTTACACAAGGTAACAATGTGCTTCACATAATCAAAAGTACATTTCAAAGCAGTACAAACAAAATAACTCAAGAAATTTAACAGCAAAGTAAAGAAATAAAACGTGTTTGAAGATTACTAAAAGAGCCTACAGTCCGAGTGCAACATTTTGTAAAACATTTTAAAACTGCTCCGAAAGAGGGAAAAAAAAATCATAGGTATGGGAAAAGCATAGTTTTTAATCCCACATTAAAAAAATATTACCACTTTATTGGTAAGCAAAGGTGTCACCTCGACCATTTCGGGTTATGAAGTGAAACTCTTTTATTTCTGCTTGTCTTCAATACACAGGTGGCGAGAGATGTTTGAAGTGTGTCGATATTACAGTTGTTTATGCCGGCCACTTTCTCATCGCGGTGTGTCTTGTCCACTGTAGCCAAAGTTTCTTGATGCGCTGTCAACTTTTTAGCCATCTTCTTCGTCTACATCTACTGTACATCTCTAAGCAGATGGTCAAATTGATAACATACCTGATGTTCCTGATCTCAGCCTCCAACAAGTGTCAATCAAAGGAGTGTCGATCACTAGTAAGCAAGCCAGTCACTTCAAATGAAAGCATAACAATACAATAAAAAGTAGAAAAGGCAGACAGAAACCATTTCGAAAGCAAACATCAAATGAAGCACGCTATTTGAGAACCTACAACAGCAATTTTCGCATTTTTCTTTTTTTTTTCTTTTCCGGCATCCACTTGTCCGGGTTCACCTAGTACTCGTAATCAGAATGCGGCGTCTTCTGTGATGTGGTCCGCGTGCTCTGGCTGCTGAAACTTATGTGTCTCCTCAGACATGGGATTTTCTTAGCAAGCAGCCTCTTAAAGTGGCTCTGGAACTTTTTACCAACAAACGTGTAAAACAATGGGCTGATGCAACAGTAGAGGTAGGCCACATTGCGGGTCACAAACACCGCGTAGTCCAGCTTGTCTGACTCGGCGCACTCCACATCCGGACCGGAGCTCTGTATGGCTTTGAGGAGGATGACCACGTTGTAAGGGGTCCAACAGACAAAGAAGGTAAAGATGATGACGAATATGAGCTTGACGGCGCGACATTTCTCCTTCATGCGAGTGGACAGCACGCGGACGGTGATGCAGACGTAGCAGTAGATCACCATGAGCAGAGGCAGGAGGAAGAAGACCAGAAACTGTTGATAGTAAGTGACCAGACGCCAGAATGCCATGGTGGCTTCAGAGTATCCCGACTCTTCACACACCAGCTCATTGAAGGGACTCGTCCAGACATTCTGGAAAACCAGCTCTTTCATACTGGCGATGACGCTGATGCACCAAACCACCACGGAGGAAATGATAGCGTAGCTCCTCTTTCTGCTCTTCGCAGCTGCCACCGCGTGCACCACTGCCAAGTATCGGTCGAAGGTCATGAGCGTGAGGAAAAGGATGGAGCTGTAGAAACCGATGAAGTAGGCGCTGCTGACCAACTTACACAAAAAGTTCCCAAAAATCCACTGAGACAGATGATACGTTGCCCAAAACGGGAGACTGGTGGCAAAGAGGATGTTGGAGAGGACCAGATTGAGCAGGAAAATGTTTGTCACCGTGTTGAGCTTCTCGTACTTGTAAATGATGTACAGGACGAGGCCGTTGCCAAGGTAACTCAGGAGGAAATTGACATAGTAGAAAGGTGGGTTGAATTTTGAGCCAAAATCATTGACATTCACCTTGGTGCAGAGTTTGACACTTTCGCTGACCACATAGCTTGGGTCGTATGTCTCATTCATTTGGAGAAGTTCCAAGAGGAGGGCATATTGGTCTTCCAACGAGTCCATGGTGGGCGATTGTCCTGAGGTACAGAGATATTTGCAGAGACTGTTAGTTGATCATCCACCGCTGGAAGAAATTTGCGACTGTGCACCTTTTCATCCCTGTGCCTGATAGAATTGAAGGGACGTGACTTGCTCGGCCAGCTCATGCATAAAAGGGTTCGACGCCAATTTCAAATTTGGACCTGAAACCAAGACTCCAAACTTCGACATGCATATTCTCCTTCGATGACATGAATCATTCTCAATATTTCAGTGTTGGTCTTGATTTCGAAAACCACCCATCTTGTTATGAGCAGCGCGTCTTACGTCTATCCTATGACTCACCCAAAAGTGTGAACCGAAACTGCTGAGTGTCGCAGTAAAAGATGTACTAACTCTCCCATCTGCTGTGCAATACGATTGTTCCCCAAAGTGAAAATCAAATCGTAATCACGCGTATCACACAACCGAAAACTATTTGTTTCGAATGTATTTCATGACCTCGTTGTAGATGTAGTGATCAAAACATCCTAATCAAAACGGCATGCGTCTGGCTGCCAAATTGTTTTATTTTATACGTTTGCTGTGGTGGAACATAATCAAGCCGAGTTGGTTTTCTGATTTATGCTCATATGGTATTTGAATCTCATTGTTGGGATGGTCGGTCCTCCGCAGACATCATCAAAGTGAACTCCATGAAGCATCTGATGATCCGAAAAGAAGAAAAAAAAAAAGAAAAACGCTCTTTCCTTATTCACCGTATTTCTATTGCTTCTGGGTTTGTCTTCCGTTCAATTAGTCACATACTAACTGTTGGGTTCTCGATGGAAGCGTTCTGCAAGTTTAGTCATTTTTCTGATATTTATCATGAGGAAATATCCTCCAGTCAATAAGAAACATTCGATGTAAACGGTGCTGACTTGCCACTTGCCTCGAGCGGGTGTTGCTCAATGTCTGTAGTATTGATTCTCCAAAGAGATCATCAAGGAAAACATACGTATTACGTTTGAATTGGGCCACTCACATTTGATTCACTATTAGGATTCCACGTCATATAAAGAAGACAGTTAATTTTTCACCCAATTACCAGTTCACAAAGAGCCTAGACTGATCAACCATTCAGGAAAATTCACACTTACTCCTTTACTTACCGATGCTGCTTTCCATGGAAGGTTTACAGGAGCGAGAGCACAGAGAAGCACTTGAGCGTCTGACTGTCGATGGAGACTTTGCACGTAGGGAGGCCGGCACTCACAGGGGACGTGCGCACAGACGCAACGTGCAAGCGCCTGGGCTGTGCATATGTGCAGTGCAACGTCACGTAACAATGTTGACCAGTCAGGATTTATTTGGGGGGGGATAGAAAAAGTTTTGCAATTTGAACTCAACAGAAAAAAAAATCCTAATAAAGACAGTTGAATACCATATTGCTCGTACATGTACATCTGCAGATGAGAGTGCGATGATAAAATGTGTGCCAAAAACCTCAATGCTGGCCGATAGCTAACTTGACTACTGTTATTTTTAGCCCGGTGTGGATATCCAAATAAATGAAATTTGAATGCAAGGCAAAGGTCACCTGGATGACGGCGGTTCATGTAAACGGGGGAAAACTACAACACAAATGTCCTGTTCAGTCATAGGAAACATTTCAGCAAAGTGCGACATTTACAGGAAATCCATCTTCTCACTTGATAAACGATGCGTGTGCAACATCTCAAACAAAATTTCACACAGGCAGAGCAGAGAAGAGATGAAATACTGTTCTGTAGTTACCTTTTCCGAACATAGAAATCAAACTTTTGACAGAGATCAAATAAAATTTCAACTGACAATTAGAAATCTATGTTGTCCATTTTATCTTGATGTGAAAATACTGACTGGTGGAAGGAAATGGAGTTGAAAAGATCAAGAAAAACAAAGCAATCATCCAGAGTTTGTTGTGAAATTCGGCCTCGCAGAGTTTCCTAAAATGCCCCGCGCACACTAGTCTCCAGCAATTCTACCTTGAAGCGGTCATGAACGGATGGCGTCAGTCCGTCTCCTCGAGCCTGCAGTCCGTTGCCACTGATGGAGGATTCATGACGTTGATGGTCTGCCCTTCTTTGAGCCTCAAAACGGCCAGCTTCACACTCCATCTACAGGGAGTAACACAACCGTGCGGGTTGTTTAGCCTTTGGCTCAGGTGCCAAAGGTTTGGGCTTTTATGTTGGCTAAACGCCACGAAAATGGAAATACAATGACCGACATGATCATCTCGAGACACACTTAATAATCTCACGGGTAGCAATACGGTGAGCAGAGGATTGATAAATGACATCGGTGACGGCTCGCCATTATTCAATTGCAAATAGAGCAAAATATACATAACTGTGCCGGAGTTGACCGCTCCACGGCTCCATGTGTCCGGGGAGTCATTCCCCAACATCGGCCATTGTCACGGTAACCCCACCCCCTGACGTCGTCTGTGCCAGAGTCTTCTGGAACCGACAAATAACTGGGGCCGGCTGAAGGACCCGTCTCAAGCACCGGAGCTAGAGCCAATTAGGGCGGTGGAAAAAGTGATAACCCGGCTGGGCACTGGCCCAGAACCGACACTGGCCCGGAACTGACATGAGCACAAGCGTGGAGGCAAAGCGCCGTGAATCAAGAGAATGTGCATACCTGTTGGTGATTGGGTCTCTGATGGAAGATGTATATAAATAGCCACTGGCCTTTGACCCAGTCACAGGGATCTTTACCTGCAAAACCATTGACACTCCATTGAATATGTACAGTGCTCAACGCAATGATTAAACCTCCAAATGATATGCTGCAAAACCGAGAGTTTCCTGTCAGAGCCAGTATTTTCTATTGCGGCGTTTCCCAAATTGTAATCAGATTTTTTTTTCCACTGCAAATTGCTCAATTTCGCATCATCATCATTACTCTATCATCATTTATCCATCGATTTTCTGATCCGCCTCTCCTCAGGAGGGTGGAGGGGCGTGCCGGAGCCTATCCAGGCCGTCTTCGGACAGTAGGCTGGAGGCACCCTGAACTGGTCGCCAGACAATCGCAGGGCACACAGAGACAAACAACCATTTGCGCTCACCATCACACCCAGGGACAATTTCGAGTGTTCTCTTAACCCGCCACGCATGTTTTCTCAAACGTGGGAGGAAACCGGAGTACCCGTAAAAAAGCCACGCAGGCACAGGGAAAACATGCAACTCCACACAGCAATGCCGGAGCCGGAACCGAACCCTGCACCTCTGCTCTGTGAGGCCGACGCGCTAACCGGTCGAGGACCTTGCTGCCAACTATTATACTCAGCATTTATTTGAACGTATTTATTGAATCAACCCTGTAAAAAGGAGAATTTTGTCGCCTAAAATGAAACACAAATTTATTTTTCCTTTACATGGAAGCTCTCTTCCTCACTAGGGTCGTTATACAGCTCATGGGTTTTTTTAATTTTGTTTCCATCCTGAAGAAGTCACGAGCTGGTTTACCGGGAAATGTGCAAAATACAAAAATGCAACATTACGAGACATATCATTATTATTCGTAGAATTGCATTAACAGCGATGACTGAAATCAAGGCATTGCCTTGAGCAAATTAATATTAATGCTGCAAAGAATAAATACATAAATCAATGAAAAACAGTATATACCTGTGCTGTTTGCTGGTCGATTCGATTTTCTCTGTCAGTCAGATGAATGTTGTGGATTTTTAACGGTGGGGCGCCCAAATTCTCCATGGCGATCGGACACGATTCCAACTTCTGCAAAGCCAATTTGTGGTAGTCCGACTCTGCAAATTTCTCTTCAGTGATACAAAACGGGAAAAAATTAGAAGGTTTATCATTTGAAACAGTTACTGGCAGGCCTTTGTATCGTCCCGAAATTAGAGGTGGTGCTTCCCATTTAGTTTATTGATGTTGTGTGACTCTTAAAAATCCAGCATGTGCGAGTTGTTATCAATACGAAAGTCAATAATCAATAAATCACAGGTGGGCAACTGAAATAATGGGACTATCCCTTTAGATTGTTCACAGGGCCACTCAGAGTGCGAGCGAGGTAGCTGCCCATCACTGAGCAATATTAAGTTATTTCACGTTTTCCGTTGCAATGTGTGTCTGCAGAAGTCCAGATCGAGATGACCTGTCCGAAACCACCTCACCCAGTAATACAATCCTATACTCACTCTGCATCAGGTAGTACATGGTGCCAATCCCTCCCCCTGTGAACAAGGTGGTGAATATGGTAAGCTGTTGCAGTTTGATGGTTGAAACCCTCATTTTCTGTGGCAAAAAAAAGAAAATCAGAAAGAAAGGATATGCACATGACTCTTTCTATGGTGGTGCAGTGATGCATTTGTGAAATGTTGCTCCGAGTATCTTTATCAACATACGCGTTTCTCAAATAAAGGGTCCTCTTTCCATTAATCTTCTGTACCGGTGGTACCAAGAAATTTGGAACTGGGAAAATAGCCAGAAGGAAACGAAAGGAAAATTTTGGCGCCTGTGGGGAAGGGAACCATATACAATCTAACTGTCCTTCGAAAGAGGTCGCCAGTCACTCATTCACACCTTCACGGAGAAGTGCCTTTACTTAACTCAGGCGAATGAATGAACGACTCGACGACTTGACAAAGGTTAAAGTTAATTTAAAGTCACTATCATTTCCTGACAGACATGTCCATATTTTGAATTGTTGATTCACAGCGCCGCCAAACGTTATTAGACACTTTTACCTTGCCATTCATCAGGCGAAAGCGACGGTCGGACAAGCAACTTCCGTAAACGTAATTCATTGGGTGCGCTTCATTCGCTCTTTGCTGTGTGACTCCCGATTGAGAAGGGCGGATACTTTCTCGTCAAGAGAGGTCTCAAAATATACAACTGATCGTTTTAGCCATGTTAATTGTCGAGGTTGATGCATGGAAGGGTTTGGGAAGGGGTGGGCGGTATATTTTAAAGTAGCAGTAAAACCAACGGCGAATACTAATTTCTCTTTCTTCCATCGCGAGGAGAATCTACTAAATCCGGGGGAGAAAAAAAACGATTTCCTTCGAGCCGGATTTGAACCAGCGACCTAAGGATGTCAACGGTAACCTCTACAGTCCTCCGCTCTACCAACTGAGCTATCGAAGGACGACTTCACTTGCGCCATATAAATATTTAAATTAATTTCGATCCTAGGAGAGGTGCCGGGGCGAATTTAAGCAATCTTATCTGTGCCTGACAGCCGAAAGTGAGTGTGGGTGTGGCTGTGGGTGTGACTGAATTGATCTCCAAAAACAAACATGGGCTTTTCGAACGTGGGTGAAAAAAAATCACACGGGGTACATACTTCCATCGTGAAAGGGTAAGTACAATTTCACTTCAACATTAACTTGCCACCTACCCTGAGGGACATAACGGATCTGTCAGGTTTTGAACGGTAGTTCGTTTAAACCCGTTTCCAGGACTCCCTTTCGTAAGTGAGGGACAATTTCAGCCTTCACATACAGCAAAATTGCTTCCGTTGGCCAGACGTGTTGTCAGAGCTCGTGCGCCTTGCCTCCAGAAGTACAACAATGTACGAGTCCATCTGTGAGCGTTGCTAGGCAACTGCGGGGAACGCCACGCGGTACATTTTGCTCGTAAGCACGGTCCCGACGGCAATTAGCTTCCAACGGTACGTCGTAGCGAAGGCCTTTTCACTACAGTACTTTGTGGGAAAATCTGGTCGTTGTCAGGAAGTTTACGTTATAAATGTGTTATTTGCAAGCAAAATTGGCAAATTGAAGATAAATTGCATGAAATCTGGACTTTGAAATGTGAACGTTGTAGGGGTGGAAACGTGGTCAACGGGGTACGAGGCTCGACTGTATGAATAAATGCTCAACTGGCTTTCCATAGCACGCTGCAGTTAAGGGGTGTGGCCTCTCTGGCCCGCAAAAAAAAAAAAAAAAAACACAGCCAAGGACCACACAGGAGAGCGAGCTAGCTTGGTGCTTTTTCATAACACTCCGCCGTGCATAACACACGGCTTTCACGCGAAGATCGTAGTGTCGACAAGCAGGTGAGGAACACAGAATAAAAACTTCGCGATGTTTCGAATGTACTGAGTGGGTGGACAACACACGCACGCACGCACACACTTAACACGTTCGATATCCCATCAATGATGAAAAAAAAACCAACGTCCTCATCAACATCGTGCAAACATTTTTTCCCAGATGTCAATTAGAATTTGTAGAACACCAGCACTACTGTCAGGATCAATGTTATCAATTAAATTCACAAACAATGTTCTCTTCATTACCTTCGTGGGATAAGGTTTTCCTTTGGTTGCAATCGCCAATTGACTGCAGGCTTGGGCCAGCATGATGTGGTTCACTCAGCAAAACAAGAGCCATGAGACAATTTGCACATTCATTGAACAAAAGTGGAACCTTGACACCGATGTCTCCCGGTCTGTCTTTTTCTCTCAATTTTTTTTTCTCACAGGGATGATGTTTGGAGCTGTGGTGGTGGGCATCGGCACAGCAGGCTGGGTGAGGATCAGAGACATATTGGCTCCGCTTCCAAGCAGTTCTGCTGAAAAACTCGCCGTCAAAGGATTCGTCTCTAGGTCAGTTTCTTTTACACATTACACCAATGTGCGAACCGCTTTTAAAACGAGCCCATGAACTCAATATGGCATATGGCATGGTGACGCATTATGTCATGAGTCAACGACTTTGCCATCGTTATTGTTCTGTTCATCTTTTTATCAACAGGAGAAGTCTGGACAGTCAGCAAGGAGTGAGTCCGATTTCAGTCGAAGAGGCTCTGACCAGAGAAGACATTAATGTGGCGTTCATCTGCACCGAGAATGCATCACATGAGCACAACGTCAGGTACCACTTTTAAATATTTCTGATTGTGAACTAGGCTTTATATGACATTTTTATATTCGATATGAGATACTTGACTTATCCATCCATCCATCCACCCTGTACGGAAAAGAATTAGACCCAATGATGGTCATTTTGCAGATAACTGCAGGATGTTAGAAAAGGGGGTTGGCGTCATTGTGGGAGTGGTCACAGCCAACTTCAGTCATGGCCAATCAAAGCAACTCCTCTCATTCATTTAACATGCAAACATGCAGCGTGCTAGTCATGCCTTACGATGTGGACATGTGGCGCGCACATCTGCACTCCGAGTACTTGGAGAACCCCATTGTTTGCTTGCCTTCGTGCCCAAAACTGTGCCGCCGAGTGAGATGATTTATTTAATGATGATGATGATTACTTAACCGCAAAGTCATCTGATTGAATGAGTGCTCTTCAAACAAATGAGCACAACTGATTTGAAGAATTTGTTCAAGGTCACCTTTGAGTTTTGTGCACTCCACTCGTTCCTGATCTTTTCCTATGTCGCCAGAACTTTTTTGCAGGCAGGGAAACATGTCTGTGTGGAGTATCCCATGACGCTTAGCTACAAAACTGCTGTGGAGCTCTGGAATTTGGCGCAGGACAAAGGTGATATTCATGTGTGACTGAGTGTACAGGGAAAACAAACTAATCTTGAAACTTACCTCACCATTGATTTATCAACAGAGAGCTGTTTATCGAGACCCCCCCCCCCAAAAAAACTTTTTTTAAAAATTGCTCAGTGTGTCAAATTCTCGAGGCATAGTCGACACTAAATGATTGTGACATTTAATCTTGCGGCATTTATTTGTTTAACCTTTAATGATCTAAGTAAGGCAAATGAGAGCCAATTCTTATTTGCATCGTCGACCTGGCTGCAGAAAGCAGCATCAAAGCAAAAATGAAACGTGAAACAGTGAAAAGTGGAGTTTTTTTGTTCTTAGCAAATGTGTTGTTAGTCAACGCTGTGCTTAAAATCTGATCTACTTGTGTGTGTGTTTTAGGGGTGATCCTTCATGAGGAGCACATTGAACTTTTTTCAGAAGATTACAAATGGCTGAAGAGGGAGATGGAAGGGAAAACTTTGCAGGAGGGAACGCTCCATTTTACAGGTTACGGTTACATCGGTACCACCGCTCCTCTTTTTATGTGCCTTGTAATCAGGCTTCATATTGCGACACCAGATGAAATTATTGGCCAGCCTGATTATCGGTGCCGATTTTCGGCCCCTGCCTTTTTGGGAAATCTAACGGCCCATAAGAGATTCATTTAAAACGGTGTCAACTATTTATTTCAATTCATAAGAGATGTTTCTGGGAAGTCTCTGCATGTTTTATTTTTGTTTGAGTTGAATGTTTAGCGTTTCAGTTATTTTGTAATTTGGGAAAACAATTTACTGTAGAAAACTGAAGGGAGCTATTGGGACCCTGGGAGCTTTGTAGAATTTAAAAACAAAGATATTTTGTTCATGATTTAAATAAATAAATAAATCTACATTTTGCAAATCTGAAGACAGGCCATCTCAACAAAGTCAAGAGTTGGAGATTTTATTTTATTTTTTTACCCCAATATTTTCCCTTTTACTGAAAATACCAAATGTGGGTGATCGGCCTCCTTGACTATTAAAAATCTGGATCGGTACCCACCCTCCCAATAAATAAATAACATATTGGTCTCTGTCATTACCATCCCTGTCTTTTTTTTTTTCTTTGTTTCTAGGTGGAGTTCTGAAGCCAGGATTTGGGTTCCTTGCATTTTGTGGCATCGCCCGTCTCACCTGGTTGGTTGAGTTGTTTGGTGAGCTCTCCGTGACCGCAGCAACCGTGGAACAAGACTTGGGCAACAACTACAGCAAGATGACTGCAAAAATGCAAACTGCTGACAAAAAGTGAGAGAGGTCTTATTCTTCCGGAAGAATGTTGACCCTGTAAAATTGAGAATGGTGATGGGAATCGCTTTCTATGGAAAGTTATAGTATCTCACCACATTGATGAGATACCATCGGGGCCAACAGTGTTTCAATATAAATAGCACAAAGAATACATGAGTACAATGGTGTCCAAACTGCTGCCTTGGGGCCATTTGCGGCCCGCCAGCCAATCTTCAGCGGCCCGCGACCAATTAGAAAAAAAAAAAAATTGACATGGGCCACAAGGTTCGTTGAAAAAGGATTAAGGTGGGCAGAGTGAGAAGGGAGGGTACCATTAGTACAAATACATTTATTTATATATTCCATTTTTCTGTCGGTGGCCCTCCAACAAAAAAAGTTTGGCGAGCTGCATGAGGAAATGCATAAGGAGAAACGGGAGGGGAAAAAAAACGTGAACTTTGAATTCACCTTTGCCTTTTTAGACCTTTGACTTGGATTGAGGAGCGAGGACCAGGACTCCCAAGAGGCAAGAGCGTCAACTTTCAATTTGAGTCCGGGCCGCCGCTAACTGAAATTCCTCCCTCGCCCAGAGGGGCAGTGGGCCTTTTCATGCAAGACCTGATCAAATTCTCCTCCAAGCTAATGGGCCAAATGAGCCCAGACGATCTCCACAAAGAGAAAAGGAGGATCCTCCACTGCTTAGAACTGGCAGAGAAAATACAACAACTTTGCCAGAAATAAACGGGGTTTCCCCACGTTGTCCATCGTGACGTTGACTTTGTCTATCGTGGAATTGATTTATTTATTGTTGGTTTTTCCAAAGGCCGTGCTCCCAAATGTTAAGTTGGGGGTGATAATAATTTTGTCCAGTCGATTTTGGGAGTTCTGAGTGGAATGATCAGATGTGGCTTTTTATGCCGTTCCATTTCAAACAATAGGAAATAAAAAGGGAATATCAAAGCATTGATCTTTGCGACAATTTTCTGGGAGAAGTGGTGCATTATTTGGCTTTTTTTAAAAGATGTTTATTGTCTCATTATACAAAGTAAAAAAATAATTAAAAGAATGCATTGCAAAATGGAAGGTTTTATAAAACAAACATTTCAATGCGGTGTGCTCTGTTTACTAGCACAGGACAGACTTCCTGATTAAAAAGTACCCAAAAAAATCAAAGTGACGACCGTACTTTTTCTGTCCGTACTCGATGGATTGAGACCCAATCGCCAACTTGAACAGAAATAAGAATCATTTAGGTGTCAGACTTAATCAAACTGCCAAAATAAGCGGTTATGGTCTTCAGCTTGTTGTTGAGGAAATTCTGCTCTACCTCCACCTTTCCTCCTGGACCAGCCAGAGAGGCGATCTGTGGGCAAATTGACAGACACACACCGTTATAGGCGCCGTCAAGCGTCAACAGGTTTTCCCCATAATTTGTCGGATATCATGATGCAAAGGCCGTTAAATGCTCCAAGGAATATCGTTGACATTTACAAGGTCCATATTTCGCGCACTTCTGAGTAGAATACAGCGCAATTGCCAATTTACACCAACAACAAGGAGCATTGCTACATGAATACAGCGATCCCTCGCCACTTAGCGCCATTGCGAGAAGACGCCTTGTTTCACATTGATGCGCGCAAGCGGTTGTCCTGCATGTCGAACAAAGAGCTAACGTGACTCTGAGGCTACTCAAACAAGGCGCATGATTGGTTCCCGGCGCGGCATCGACCAATGAGAGCACGAGTGGATTCGCCTTTCACGGGGGCTTTCCGAACCGCCAAAAACGAGGGATTGCTGTATCTCTCTAGCAGAGTCAAACAAAATTTTACCTTCACGTTATCGTTGTACAGATTGTTTCATATGGCACGACGTATCAAATCAGACGATATTTTACTGCTGCACCCAATGCTTTGGGTGCCAAAGACTTTGATTTTATGGCCATAGCATCTGCATAAAGCAGGTGACTTTTTTTAAAAGAGCAAGCAAAAAAAAAAAAACTCCACACATTTTCAGACAGTGAAGATTCTGACCTGATTCATGTCTGCGTTGCGAGGTAGGAAGTACACGATGTTGTCGGAGATTTGTTTGGCCAGATGGAAAATCTGAAATGTGACTCGAGTTAAGGGCAGAAACCAATACAGTACAATCATATTATGAATTCACCCGAACTGCTTCATACTACTCACTCGGGGTGTGTATCTCTCCAATAAATGACAATCCGATACGTACCTCGAGCCACGGGTGTGATATGATTCATGTTTGGATTCGGTTTGATTCAGTGGGATTCTAATTTGCTTTTTTCTCTCACTCTCTGTTTAGAATTAGTTCCAAATTTTAGATCGCTTGACAGCACTAAAATATAGACACACATATACACACACACAGGTCCACGTCAATGATAAAGGAGTGTGCGTGAAACCCAAACATAAAAGGATATCCATCTGGGTCCATCATGGTCTTAATGTCAAACACCTCAGCAGTTAGGTAATCTGGTCCTCCCCAGGGGGGCGACAAGAAGACAACGTCGCCACAGAGACGAGGCGCCAGCTGAAGGAAGTCCCCTTGCAGGAACTCGATTTGATGGGCGACGCCATAAACTGTAGCGTTGTGGCGCGCCAGGTCCAGTCGTATGGGGTCGATGTCAACGGCGAGGACTGAGAGTAAAACACAGGACGAGAGCACATGTGCATCGATCTTGGATCACAGCTCCTCCCCCTCAGAAGAACCAAAAAGCGACTTATTTTCCAGACCAGTGACAAAAGGCACGAGGTTACTTCCTGTTCAGTAGCTTATTAACAAATGCCAACATGTATGCGCTTGCCTGGGGCCTTTTGTCATTTTTGCACCATCCTGTGCTCTGCCCTGTGACGACAACAAGAAAACCATGCGCAGTGTGAAATAAATAAATCAATAAATAAGGGGTGGGGGGAATATTTCTGTGCATTTCTGACTGGTTGTTCCATACAGCACATCACAAAATCATTCACCCAGCCAGCCATTCAGGAAAACTAAATGGCAAATCCTGCAAAGTACGCAAAAGCTCAGTCGGTTTCACACGTGTCGCTCCATGTTCGGCGGTCCTCAAGATTATGAATGACCCAAAGCAACGCAAGAGCTTCTAAAGGTAAAAAAACACAGGAAATAAATCTAAAAAGGGATAAAAAGTCAAAGTCCTTCTTTGATCAATTTATTATTGAGACACTGTTGTCTTATTAATCTCCTCAAGATTATGAATGACCCAAAGCAACGCAAGATCTTCTAAAGGTAAAAAACACAGGAAATAATTCTAAAAAGAGATAAAAAGGCAAAGTCCTTCATTGATCAATTTATTATTAAGACACTTTTGTCTTATTAATAATGAAGAGGATGATACAACTAAAGGCAGAGTCCCAATAAGCAGAATCCAAATGCTGCTTCACTCAAGGGTCCGCAAAGAAAAAACAAATGCTGCCTTGAATTAATGATGCCCATTATTCCTAATTTCTTGATAAGAGTTGGCCGAGTTACTTTCGAGTCTCCCAAAAAACGATCCCCTGGATTGAGAGCTGAAACGTGGCCGTTTGCAATCCATGACGGTGAAGGCAAAGCTACATTCTGCCACTGTATTATATGTATATGTTATCGACATATACAGAGAGCGATTTTTTTATTTTTTTTTACCTCTTTTCCCAGTGAGTGCAAATTGGATGGCGTTTCCTCCGACTCCGCAGAAGGCGTCAATGATCAGCTGAGTGTTGGGAAAACCCGCCTCCACTCTGAGGGCGATGTGCTCAGCAATCTTCTCCGGCGTCACAGAGAACCAGCCCTCTGTAACACGCAACAATGTCACAGACAAGCGTCCACCCCAACCTCAACGCAACTTTATTTACTGAGCCTCTCAAAATAACCACAGCGGCATACCGAGTGCTGAACGTAAAGTCAAAAGAGTCAAAACAAACAAAAAAAAGCCCTAAAACAGTTCACGCTCAAAGAATGCCGAGTGGAAAGCCGGAGAATAAAAAAGGTGTGTTAAGACGGGTTTGAAAGACCTCTGTCCAGTTTGATTCCTTCGCCAAAGCGAGAGAAGAGTCTGTAGCGCTGAGCCCAGTATTTGGCCAGGCCCGGTTCTGCCGCCATGTCTGCCGGGATCTGCTGCTTCTTCCATCGCTTACTCTTCTTCTTTGACTTTTTGGCGTCTTTCACATTCCAAAACACACAATCAGAAATGAGTTTGCATCCTTCAGAATACACAAAGGATGTTTCCTTTGATGTCCAAAGTGTTTTGTGTGAGATGAGCCTCACGGCTCTTTTGAGGATTCAAGGTTGACGACCGCTACAGTAATTCCTTCTTCTTCTTCTTACGGGGACATTTTGGACATATTTCTACAGTACATTTTGTTTAGTGTGTATAAAGCAAAGCTCAGTAGGATGCGGTTGGAGAACTTTGGTGTGGAATAACCGGACGCATAAAGCAAAGAGCTGAACTTCTGAAGACGGGGACATTTTGGACATATTTCTACAGTACATTTTGTGTTTAGTGTGTATAAAGCAAGGCCCAGAAGGATGCGGTTGGTGAACTTTGGTGTGGAATAACCGGACACATAAAGCAATGAGCTGAACTTCTGAAGACAATTTTAGAGCCGATATCATCAACAGGCCCGGTCACAACCAACATCAATGAAGTCAGACTTGTCAAATGCTCCTAATAACAATAACGAGAGCTTTGGATACAGATCTAAAGTCGAAATTGAAAGTGACAGTTGTGTGCTCACCGCCGTTGTCTGCAGGTGTGTCGGGCAAAAGAAAGTCGGGGACTTCCAAGCATTCCAGCTGCCTATTGGGCTCCTCCCTCCGACAGCCGCGAGCGATGTCCTTCTTGGTGTCCGGCAAAGCAGGACTCTCCTCTTCCATCCGTCTACTGCTCCTGCCATCATTTGTCTCCGTTGAAGCTGGAATTTCCTCAGACCGCGCGCTGCTTTGTTCAGGCCGTTCTTGCTCGCTGAGAGTCCGATGTGCCTCACTCTGAATCTTCTCGAGAAAGTTTTGAACCTGTGGAAAGCAAGCCAGCGCAGTCTTATTTTTAGGTATCATTTTATTCAAAAATCGCCCCTCCCCGAAATAGTCGACTCTGCGACTTCTCTCCATTTCAAATGATCATTCGATTGGATGACGTCTTAAAATCAATTTACAAACGTCAATAAAGTTGAAGTAACTGGGCGTGGCCACGATTGATTCAATAGGCAGGAAGGATCACGTCAAGGCAAAATATGCATCCGCAACCGAATTCCCATACGTCAGCAATGATCTTGGGCATAATTCATTCGCGATTTGAGTGAATGCCATCAAAAGTTTGGCTGCGTTCGCATTTTAGTCCAACCAAACAAAAAAAACAAGCACGCACGGATGGTGCGCGCACTTGGTCCGGTTTGTTTCGGCTTCATGCCAACATCATCATTGGAAAAATTGTTGCGCGGGGGAAAAAAAAAAATGGAAAAAAAATGAAAAAAATGAAGACGTGCTCGTACCTTGTATGTGACAGATTATGTGACGGTATGCAGAAAAAAATGTTGCCTGTTGGATTGACTCGCTGGATATTTTGCCACTTTTATCAGTTGAGCGGCACCAACAACAGTCTCTCACGCTGAGGAAAGCGGCTGAGAGACACGGCGCTTCTCAAACCTTTGCTGATCTCTACCGTGGAATAGTTTTGTTTTTGGGGTTCTTTCAACTCTGACCGGTGTAGCATTCACATTTCAGCTCAAGAGCCGCGGGTTTGGTGGCACCTCTTTCGATCGGCCGTCCGCTCGTTTGGTGCGCAGCAAAGGTTCACATGACGGGAGTCACGTGATTTGGGGATAAACATAAAAGCTGGCATTTTCACAGGGACGTGTTCAAAGAAGCGGCAAGACAGATGGCTACCTTTTGGAGGGCGGCGCTGCACTGCGGCTCTGCTCCATCTTCGTCCGTCTCGGTGAATCTGATGTGTTTGTTTACGCTGCCGCCGCTTCTCTTGGAGCAGAAACGCCTCGGACGCTTCTGACCCAATCTTTCTTTAAAGTTAAAGACAGTGTCGAACCTGCGAAAACAGGTGAAACGAAATCATGATGAGTCATGGAGGATTTGATGGACTAAAACTAACTTGGCAAAAGAAAGGAGAAAAAAAATGCGCGATGTCGCGGGACGCACATTGATTCTGGGTTGTGTTTGAGTCCAAGTCTGCTCCAGGCTTCATCACATGTGAGATTTGGGTTCTCCTCCACATCTAATTCATGACTGCAGACAAAATGAAAAGAAGTCTATCAGTGAAGGTCTATTTGATAAGATACGACGCACACAGTATGTAACATGGCAAAGTAAATGTTCAAAGTCACCTGCGTTTGACTTGACTCGGCCCTCCACTCAAGAAGGGCTTTTCATCGTCACCATCATCATCTTCCCCATTTGATACGTGATTTGTAGAAGCCACATGCATATTAAGGCTGCCAGCAGCCTGCGGGGAATCTAAATAAACAAACAAAATAAAAACAGATTCATTGATACGGAAATAAAAAAGGGCATCCGTGTGATTTTCGCAAACCGGTTGAGAGCTATAACAATTTTTGGGGGCCATATGACATGTTTAAGAAACGATGTCGGACGCTGTCCTACGACTGAGATTTCCATCTGCTCGGCTATTACCTGCGTGTTGCGTTCTATCCTGCTGTGAGGAGGCGTCGGCTTTCTTGCCGCGGTTTCCCCCATCGGAGGGCTCAGAAAGACAGTCCGTATCGGAACGCCGTCTGGTTGTTCCAGAGTCAGCAGAGATGTTCCCGCTTGCCTCCAAAGTGCAGTTCTTTTCAATGAGATCATTTAAAACCTCAACGTCATTAGTGTTTTGATCCAGCCGTTCTCCTGAGTGCTTCCCTTTGCCTCCATTCATCCCCTCGTCCGCAGTTTCTTCCAAGGTGGCGTCCCCCTCACGAGATAAGTCAACGGTCCAGCCCTGCGCTGCCCAGTACGAGTATTGCTCCCAATAGTAATAATACGTGTCTGCGGCGTGTCGATTCCAGGCGGCCATTTTGTTGGGGTCGTCCCACGGGGCTGTCACACTTGGGGAATCCTCTGAAGACGGCAACTCATCGGCATGTTTCCCCACCCAGCTGTTCCACAGAAGCGCTTCACCTTGTTGAGCTTTGACAGACACAGATGAAGGACATGACAGATATCCAGGACTGAGAGAGTTTCGTTAGGCTGATAATCAAGACATGTAGGGGGCCCGAGCGCAGTTTGAACATTAAATATCTTATCCTTGTGGTGTATTCAATTCAATATGGGTTGAACAACCACCGTAGTTTATTTTCATTAATGTTGAACACAACATTGCAACTTCCTTTGGAATTGAGTTTGTGCACAGACTGAGCAAACGGGGTCCACGGACTGACCCCTGAGGGACCCCACATGCCATGGCCATTAGATCAGTCGAAACACGCAATGGTCACGGACGGCGTAACTCCTGCAAGTAGGACCTGAACCATTTTAGGACGCTTCCATTCATCCCATCCAAGTTTCCAACCCGTCCAACAGAACATTATTGATCGGTGGTATAACATGCTGCACTGAGATCCAATGAGACGACTGATTTTTATTTAGGATGACTACAATCCTAACATAGAAGGATTTCGCCATACAGTTGTGCATTTTGCGTGTCCAGTTGTGCTTCAGGCTGGCTAAATGGCTGCCTGATATCATTTGATCCAAAATGTTTAGACGTGCTTCTCATTCAATAAAGAATTCAAAGGTGTCAAATGGTATTTTAGCATCAGCCCTACCCCAGTATGTCTCCCAGCCGGCATCATTGGCAGATGGCGTTTCGACTGCTTCACCCAGCGTCTTTGTCTTCAGTCCTTCTTCCGCAGTATCACTGATGTCCGTGCAAACTTGGTAAACATAGAAATCACCGTGAATCATAACGATGCCCTTTGTGGCATGATTGTTTTCTTGCCTGGGAGGAGTTTATGGTAAGCTCCTTCAAGTGGCCTTTGAAACGTGCCCTGTCTGGAATGCTTTTGTTAGACTTGAGTTTGTATAATTAATAATGGCGCAACAACCATGCTCAATTGTTAGCGCGAGAACCCGTGGGACAAGAAAATAAGCCAACTATCATTACGGAGCATGAAGGCCGTCAACAAAGACTGTTCCTTGGGCCTATATTATTGTTTTTGAGAAGCATGCTTGTCCTATTAGCCTTCTTCGGGTAACACATCTACAGTCATATTCTGTACTCAAGAATAAAACTGCACTAAATAGAACATTCCAAAACCCACACACGCTGATGTAGGTAGAACTGTAGAAAGGCAGAACGGTGGGTTATAAGCTTGCCTGGTTTAAAAAAAAAAAAAAAAAAAAAAAACATCGATGGAAAGAAATAAGTTATGCCTATTCGCATTACCTTTGTCAGTACATTGTGAATCCTCCTGGTCCTCCTCAGGAAATTCTGTCTGATAAGTAACTGGTTGTTTGGTAGCTCTCTTCCCCTGCCACGTGATCAAAAGTATCATTCAGATCTGTCATAACTACTCATGCCTCTGATGAAACTGACATGGTCTGAGAAGAAACAGAGGGGCACAGTATTCACACTTCTATTGTCAATGAGGAAAAAGTACCTCTTTACGCTGGCTGGAAGAGCTGGCAAAAGCAAGAGGCAGGCCCATGCTAGACATTAGCTGAGCCTCTTCATCCAAAAATGCAACTTCCTCATCACTCTCCTCTTCATTTTCCGCTTCTACGGACAAGGGAATGACGTGACGTGATTGAAATCTAGCGAGTCAATGAGTCATTCTTGCGTTTTCATCCGGGCGATTTGAAGGACACGCGCACTTCGGGAAGACCCAGTGAAAGGTCGAGACCAAGACACCGTTGTACTCAGAATTTAAAACAAAAACAATATTGAAATACCTAAAATAACAAACCTTGGATTGCAGCATCTGCCTGGTCAGGTGAGAGAAGTCGATTATCTGACCGATACAGCTCTCGATCACTAAGAGGGAGCAGACAAAAGGACAGTGAACTCCGCATCGAACCAATTTGTAAACAGCAACTAGCGCGCTTGTTTACGAATTATTTCAATCGGACATGGGCAAAGCTCACTCACTGCACAAACGCTCTGGAACAGCAACAGTGGATTATTTCTTCGGACGTATGTCTTCTGCTGATGAATATATCAGCCACAACCGTAACAGTGCTCTTTTCTAGCATCATGACAGAAATCGCGCGTCCATTTGGCTTTGTCAATCTGATATCTAACGATACTTAACTACGGCACGAGCATGCTCAGATTCGTTCCGCATCTTGAGTGTCCCGGAAGCTTCCGGCAACAAACCTTCAGAATAAAAGCGACTCTACATTTGTGATCTGTGGCTGTGATGCTACTCACACCGTTTGGATGTCTACCAACATATTTGCAAATGCCGTTGTTCACATTCAACCAAACAACCCGTCCCGTATTTTATTATATGGATAACCTTTGTTTCTGTTCGAGTTTCGCTTTTATTCAGCGGAACTAGTTGGTCTGAAAATCGTGACGTCAACGGACCAATTTCTGTGTTGCACACAAAGCGTCCTGGACCCGTAATTACAAATAGGGTTTTTTTTTTTAATTTAAATGTCGTTGCACAGAATAGCATTTTAATCAATGTCTCTAAGAAACAGAATATCCAACCACGGTAATCTTTTATTCATTCATGCTGCGTCTTGCTTGCGCGAACTTCATTTCAGAACGTTATCAGTGCGTAAACAGGACGGCATCACTGGCCCGCCGTTGTTGTTGATGTTGTTATTCCCCGGTAATATCGAAGAAGTAAATCTTTTTCGTTTCTCTTCTCTCAGAATCTCTCAACATTCTACCAAGCTAACACCCTCGTAAACATTTAAAACACGTCTGTCATGTGAGCCAATGCTGTGGGGAAATTGTAACCTCGCGGCAATGACCTCAACCTTCTCTTTTTATTGTGAAAAGTGTCTTCCTCTCCTGAGCGCTCCACCTAAACCTCTAATTTAAGATGCTTCCTTTACCTAGTTGGCTTGGTTCTCGTAGCAAATGCCATCCAAGCTGCATCAATTGAGTGATCCAGAGAGCTGCATCTCCAGTGACTGACAGACAGTTAAGGGAGGATGTCAAATGCAGGGAACCAGTCATGTCTGATGGTCGCTGAGGACACAGTCGCCTTCCTAGTAAGACTTTTCCAAGCTCTTCCGTGACACACTCCATTATTACATTACCCCTTGGACTGTTTGCAACAAACAATAAGAAGTCCACAGTGGCAGTCTCTCGATACATTTCGTGGTGGTCATTGTGTTTCTTTCACGAACAGAGAGCTGCCAACACTTTTGCCTGTGATTAAAACATAGACGTCTCTGTAGATATGTAAGAAACTGAAGAGCCGTTAAGCCGTGTTTTATTTTGGCTTTGCACGCCGACACCGTCCTTGCTGTCTCCACAAACCTTTTCACAGGTTTGTGGCTTTCATGCCTTGGAGGAATGGCTTGGCCTCGGTCAGCTGGAGGACTACCTGAGTGTTTTGGAATACCTATTGTGGGTCTTCACCCCTCTGGCTATCGTCTTTATCCTGCCCTTCCTCATCGTCATCCTCCTGTATCTCTCGATACTTTTTCTTCACGTCTATAAGGTGCGCAAAAACAATGTACCGTCTGACTGGATTTGAAGACGTTTTTCACTCAGTTTCACGCACCCGCGTTTGCCTTTTTTTCTGACAGCTTCAACACCAAACTCGGATCTGAATCCTTTGCCGCACTGTCTCAATGAAATGCCGTCCCGTTGTTTAAATAAAGCGATGGAAATTGAAAAAATGCCCCCCCCCAATCCAAGTAATGAATGATTGATGAGATTTTAGTCGCATCGGCCCAATGTGACTCCCTGCATCTATTTTAATGACAAGAAATGTATCATGCAGTCTTTGCCTCGTGTCAATGGATGCAATTGTTATTTTCACCTGGTTTTTGATTTGTCTTGTGCCAAAAATGAAGGATTTAAAAAAAAAAAAAAATTCTTTTTGAACAAGTTCGGTATGAACGCCAGTCGCACAGGCTAATAATGTGACTGGGATGTTGCAATGCTGCCTTTGTTTTGCAGGTTTGTCCCATCCCAGCTGTCGAAGCTGTCAAGTGGCGGTGTTGTCGCTAACCCAGTTTGCAACTTTTATCTTCGAACAGAGGAAGAATCAGTTGAGAGAGGCATACTGCAACAACCTTTGGGATGGAGCCAGAAAGACCCTGGCAACTCTGTGGGACGGACACGGCGCCATATGGCACGGTAGGATGACATAGGGTGGAAATTATCGATGCGAAGGTCGCGGGCGCGCTGGAATCGATCCCGGCAGTCTTCGGCACCGTGTGCGTTCCGCTCCGGTGGCTGAACACACAAAAGCATTTAAAATTAAGAGTTCCATCGGGCACCGAGGGCTTTCAAAACAAAGAACCATTTCACCACGCTGACTCAGACGAGGTCACGAACTGAGGAGTGTTGCGGTCGTGATGCGTGAAGGTACACGCTTCTCCCCGTTTCCGTCGTCTTGACCAAGTCGGGTCCTTTCCTTGGCACCAGGCTACGAGATCCACGGCATGGACAAGATCCCCGACAAAGGGCCGGCGCTCATCGTGTACTATCACGGAGCCATTCCCATTGATTACTACTACTTCTTGGCCAATGTCATTCTCCAGAAAGGACGGACCTGCCACTCGGTCGCTGACCACTTCCTTTTCAAAATACCAGGTACGCGCCATCTCTGACAGACGCAACATTGACACGAGTGCTGCCGACTCTTCTGTGGTGGTTTCCTGTATTCGGTAGCGTTCGTTCGTGATTTGATTTGCCCTTGTCACTTTCTTGGATGCAATCGAGTGGCGTTGTATTTGTGGCGCTTTGAATTCTTTGGGTGTTTTTTTTTGGTCCCTTTAGGGTTCAAATTGTTGTTGGAGGTGTTCAGTGTGATGCACGGTCCCCAGGAGGAGTGTGTGCAGGCACTGAAGAATGGCCACCTGTTGGCCATCTCTCCGGGAGGTGTGAGGGAGGCTTTGTTCAGCGATGAGACTTACCCTCTTCTTTGGGGCAAACGCAAAGGCTTCGCCCAAGTCGCCATCGACTCGCAAGTGGTGCGGCATTTTCCCGCCAATTCTCACATCGTTTACATCCGTCACATATGACGCATTCATTTACTTGCAATCGCGTGACGACATTTTTATTTATTTATTTATTTTTTACCTTTTCACAAATTGGTGACGAGCCCGAGAGAAAAATGCCAACGACAATAGTAAAAAGCAACATGGAATTCTTGGAATGTAGACATTCGGGACCGGCCTCCAGTTTGATCGGATAGAAGATGATCATCTTTCCGCTTCCTCCGCCCACAGTGTGTCGTACTTTCCGTTTCAGGCCATCATTCCAATGTTTACCCAAAATGTCCGAGAAGGCTTCAGATCGCTGGGAACGCTGAGTGAGTGCCCATTCAACCGTCGCGCTCGAATTATGGCGCCATCAATTCTTGCGTTCACCTCGGTTCACCGGCAGCCATTTCACTCCGACGATTTGGAAAAAGAAGCTATTTTGATTGCAAATTTGAAGATCCAATTCATCTGTTGAAAAAAATAAATAAAACATTTAGGAATGAGTTAACTGTGGTCAATATTACTGTTTCAACTGGCTTTTGTTGTTGTTTTTCCATCCATGTTCTGATCCTGTGTGTCTCCTGTGGGCAGGATTTTTCCGTTGGCTGTATGAGACCTTTCGTCTTCCCATAGCTCCCATCTACGGCGGATTCCCAGTGAAGTTCCGGACATTCCTTGGCGAGCCGATCCCCTACGACCCCAACGTTACTGCTTTGGAGCTGGCAGAAAAAGTACGCTCGCGACACTTTTTGTTTTCAACATTTGGCAAAGCGCAGTCTGAGATTGGCACACAAATGTCACACTTGCCTAGCACGACTGCGCCCGGACATTATTCCAATCGAAAATTCTCGTGCTGCGATTTTTTTTCAGATGACATCACATTGTAAATACGTGCCACGGACGATGATGAGTCCTGTTGAGACGACAATCTATGTGTTTTTGGGTCCTTTTCTCTGCAGGTAAAACAGGCTGTCCAGTCCCTCATAGACAAACACCAGCAGATCCCAGGGAACGTTCTGAGAGCCCTTCTGGAGAGATTCCGCTCCAAATACAAAAGGGAATAGCCTCCGCGAGCTATCCATTCGGCAGCGGGAACGTGCATTCGACTCCAGGAGGATGACGTGGAAGCGGAAAGCGCTTTGGCGACGCAAGTCCCGGAACTTTTCTCACGCGCCGCCGAAGACTTGAGACATTTGCTGCGGGCGCAGTTTCGGTGCCAAACACGACTGGTCACTGCGTGCGTTGGCTCGCTTTCTACGTATTCCCAAAACGAGACTTCTTGAAGGGTCTTGGACATCTTTTAAAATTTTGTATTTTTTTTGGGGGGGGTGGGGGCGACGATGTAAGCAAGAGTTGAATAACTTGAGTAGGCCTGGTATGCTTAATGTGCAAAGCCTCAAGTATCACAACTGTTGATTTGAACCACTCTTAACATGCCTTTGGAAATGTTTTGCGGAATTACACTGAAGTCTTCAAAGTGATGACCAATTGACACCTTGCTTTGTTTTTTTTTTGGGGGGGGCGGGTTTCAACTATTTTTGCTGTGTGCCTGGAGCAAACACACTTCCAAGTTATAATATCGCCATTAGAAAAATTGGCTTTTGACCAATTCTACTAAAAGTTTGACAACACTTGGTCTGGGGCTCCCCCTTTTTTATGGGCTGTTTTCTGGTGTTTCGACTTTTTTTTTGAGGACCATCGATTGGAAAAGTGGATTGTCTTCAATGAGGCCTCTCTAAAAGTGACACAAAAATCGTATCATTGCTGGTGCTTTGAAGTGTTGTACAACGTGCACTACAATTCCCCCCACCCCTTTTTTTTTTAATTGTCCAAATTGTGGTTGGAGATGCAGTGTCATGCATTACTTTTCTGTGCACGTAAACATACATATTTGCATGTATACTTTGTGGTTTGTTTGTTTGTGTTTTTTTTTTTGGGTGGGGGGGTCGGGCACGCCATGCCTCAGTGGAAGGGTGGGTTTGACCCTCAACCCTTGTGACCATGTGGAATTGTCCTTGAGCAAAACTCTGAAGCCTAATTTGCTCCTGCCAGCGCCCTGCATGGCAGCAGTCTCCCATTGGTGTATGAATGTGTGTGATTTTCAGGATTTCTAAAGCACTTTGGGCACCATATGGGCGAGGTAAAGCGCTATATAAGTGGGGTCCGGTTTGTCATAATTGGAAATTAGTTGTTTCACCGATTGTTTGAGAACAGTGTCCTGGCTGCTTTAAATGTACATGTGGAGTCTATTGAACGGATTTTAATGAGACAATCTGAATAGGGCACTTTTAAAATGGAATAAAATTATTTTTTCAACAGGTTTTGTTTTTAGTAGCATTGCTCCATTTGATGGAACTGTTTTTTTTTTTCTTGCTTCATCCGAGAGAATTTTTACACGTCGCTCAGCACAGATCAAGTCTGGGTTTAAACCGTGGTCATTATTACGTGAGAATACGTGCGGAACTGACGAAAAATGTTCTGATATTCCATCAAGGTATAAAAATTGTATCGCTACATAATGAACGGATTACTGTTGGACGGCAATGCTCAAACTGGAATGGGTCGGCAAACAGGCAAGCGTCGCTTCTGCCTCAAATTTACAATCCAATGTACCGGTAAATCTTTTGACCCACTGCATATTTAAAAAGGATGTTAAGCGGGCGGCGGTGACCAACCTTTTTTTGACCTAAGTCCTACTTTTCAAGCAACTAACCTCCCGCGATCGACCCGTTACCGCACGTGCACTCAACACACACACGTGGGCCATGATGAGCAACAGCCCAAAGGGCCCCGAACATAAACGAAACCGAAAATATTAAGTTGATACAAGCGTTTGTGAGTTGGGGAAAAGGAAATCGCTGCCTACCTTCGTGGGAGACCTGAGGCGGAAGCACCGGACGCACTTTCGCAGCGTGTTCACGATCGTGGCTCACGTGGACCGTTTGAAAACGCTCCTCCCGGCACTCCAGATTCTCTTTCTTCGCAAGCGCCGTCCGTCAATTGTACATGTAACAAAGTCTGAATAAGAATAATAATCAAAGATAGAGCGCAGCAGCTCTAATCGCAAACTGCAATTGCAGACGGCTGACCGCTAACAACTTCCGGTGATGCAGATCACGGGCCAACCGCAGGTTAAACGTCACCTGCTTTTTGATTTGATTTTTGTTTTAAATACTTTTTTTAATGAAACTGGTGGGATGCTTAGGGTGAAGTGCACACTAACACAAATATATATATTATTAATAAGACACACACAGACGCACAAATCCCCCCCACCCAAATTCTCCCTCCACCCCTCGTGATCGACTTGGAGCAGTCCGCCGACTACCGGTCGACCGCGATCAACTATAAATTGTAAAGTGATTAGAGCACATTGTGATGGTGGAAGTGGAAAGAGGCCAACGCAATTGTCGCAGATGTATTTTGCTTTGGCAGGTGTGCGCAATTTTTCAAAACAACGCAAAACAAACTACTTGTATTGTGCTTAACTGAGTTAATAACTTTTCATGTGAAGTAAAAAAAAAAAAAAAAACAACACAAGACAGCACATTCTTTTCATATGAATAGAAAACAAACTGGGACCATAAAGTACTTTTAGGCGGACACCTACTCTTAAAGCAGAGGTTTTAATATTCATGCCAAAATGCTGTCAATTTGTCATTCTTCAAGGGCTGGATCTCTGCTCAAGTCGAGACCACCAGCTACTGTGAGCAAAGAAGTCCACTCCCCGTGCGGTGTGCCTTGAACTCACCGGCCCATCATGACAAAACGTGTACATTTTTCATTTTAAAATCAAACGCCATTTTAGACGCAAACCCTAACGGCGGCGTGGTCATATCCAGTGTTGATTGAATCCCAACAGTATGGGGGCTCAGGGTGAAAGGATTCAAGGAAAAAGATCACACCGGCAGAAGCAACGGTTTTGACGACACGAAGGGGGCGGGTTAAAAACAACGGGGAAAAGCGAACAAGCACGGCGCAAGGCATGACTTGCCATCGGTCTTTCTGCAATACGATAAAGCCTTGAAGATATTGTGCCGTCGCATCCACTTGTCAAAGGAGGAGGAGTCAGCGGGGAAGATCAACATTGACGATCATGCAAATCCACGGAGGACAAACGATGCGGCGCCGCCGCTCTTCCGAGACTGACCGGACCGAGCGGAGCTTTCCGAACATCGGCGCGTAAACGGTACGCCGGACCATTTCATCGAGCTGCAAGTGTACACTGTATTGACGTAGGAGTCTGGCCCCCTGTGGCGGCCATGTTGGCTCTGCTGTCCTGTTGTCCAATTGTGGCTCGTCGCCCCAGGAGGTCTTTGTCATATGTTTGTCGAGCGACTCCTCCGTAGACGACTGCTGCCAGGTGAGCGGCGGTGACCGCCGGGGGCTTTCACTGCTTCTCGGGGTCCCACTTTGGCAGCCTCTGCAAGATGGCCTGATGGTCAACGCCGACAGTGGCCACCAGGCCTCCTTTGTTGAGAGGAGTCCCACTGTAGTCGATCTCCTCCCCCTTCAGAGTTGTCATGTGGCCCCCTAGCAGCCAAAGTTTCATGCAACTCAGTTAGTGTGCCGCCGTGCCTACTGGAACACACATTAGAAAGCCGCAATGCAACCCAACCCAACGCCGCGGGGAGCTCAGATGGGCGTGGAAATGTCTGCGAGCCACTCTGAATTTGACCAGTTGAGTCAAAAATGGATTCTTCCGATTGGGAGTTTGAGCCATCGTGCTTGCATGGGGTCATAGGGCACACTGGTCTGCAGCAGACATCACAATGACATGAACTGTAGGGGCCCTTTTCCTTTGCCTTTTTTGGAGACGTTTAAGCCAGAGGATCAAGTGTTTTCGTGTATGATGTCATGGACTGATGAGCAACGTTTTTTTTTTTTTTTGCTTTTTTTGTTGGCTTTTTGCAAGCTGACACACAACCAACCTTAACACTCTGCGAATGGTTATCCATCACTGGAGGCTGTATTTTAATATTTGAAATCTTCACGTGAATGTGTTTTTCTGTCTGTAAGACAGAATATTTGCTCGACTAAATGTCTGCGCAGGAAATATGAGGGCGTAAATGTGTCCGTTAGTTGAACATTTGGAGCTCGGCCGGCAGCTGCGAATGGATTGAATTCCCTCATCACAACATTTCACGCTGAAAGGTCAAAAACATCATCATGTGGGCGCGTCGGGTTTTCCCCTGTACGCGACGGGCAATTTGAAACGGGGAGACGGAGAGTTGAAGAGATTACCGTGCGCAGAGAGAAGGGCTGCACCAGCGCAGATGTCCCATTTCTTGATCATGGTGACGTGGACGTAAACGTCGGCTTGGTCTACGGGCTCTTTATCCGCCGAAGGCATCTGCAAGAGCGACAGGACCTTGTACCCTGAAAGAGAGACAAGACCACCACGGTGAAGCTCGGAAGACTTTACAGATGCGCCATACGTTGAATGGAATTTTCGACGTGGCCTGCCTAGCATGGAAATACCAGAAAAACAAAAGGATTCCGCTTTGGGTCCCTTTGAAAAATATTTCATGATTGATGCCAACATCAACGTAAAAGAGCATCTTACCTGCTCCTCCCGCTTCGATAATTGTGGTGCTGTTTCCAAAAGCGTCGTGAACGAAGCTTTTAACCTTCCCCGAGTGAGAGCGGGACACAATTACTTTCGGAGGGCTAACGCTATAAGACGAGCGAGGAGTCATATTGGATCCCTGATTCACAAGCGCCCAGGCTGCCGGAGAGATGAGAAAGTGGGGTCAAGTTCAGGTCGTTATTTGTAGGACTACTCTGTACTTTTACTTTGGTCATGTTATTCTAAAGAAAGAGTACTCTTACTTGAGTACGGATTTGGGCTACACTACCCAGCTCTTGCCAAAATCAACTGGGAGAGCCTGACAAGTTCACTTACCAGTGAAGCCGGTAAATGGCCGGTGTATGACACCAATGACCGGTTTACCGTTAACAGCCACGCAGACCATTGTCGTCACATACTTGACCAAGGACTCTGGGAAGCAAGAAAAAAAACAAAAACAAAAAAATCAAAAGAAGGGTGGTGGAGAGTAGATTTCAAGTGATTCTAGGATATCAACCCAAACAATTAGTATTTTCAAGAAATCGCGATATGTTCCAAACCTAAGTCGATGTGCATTATATAAGACTTCTTTATTTGGCCTTTTATTTAGGTGAGTTGATTCGGGTCACTTTGGAAAGGGACCTATTTTTCATGAAAAAGATTTCATGGGGAACCAGCAAACAAAAATAGAAATAACGTATGCTGAAATAATGATCTACTCTCAATTTATTCACAAGTGCATTGATTGCACATCAAAACAATGTACTTCAGTCATTTTTGCTCTAATATCGTTTCATCAGTTAAAAGAGACTTCTTAACATACAATGCTTCCGGTGCGTCTTAAATACGAATGGAAAAAATTAAAAACAGACCCGCTTATTGAGATTGCACTGTTCCGTAAAAGACAGTTCTCAAAAGCGAGCGGGAGATTGAAAGTTACGGCCCCGCTTGATGTTTTATAGCTCGCGGGGTCCAGGGACCCAAGTTAGAGAATCATGGCTCCAAACCACGAGGAGACCGAACCTGTATATTCCTGCGTGGCATCCAAAGGATCGATCCACACAGTAACGCTCTCGGCGGGGACTTCTTTGTGTCCTTCGATCTTCTCTAGTATGTCTGCTGGAATGTCCCGACTCCACAATGCAGTGTTATCCACAATGCTGTCATGTTCCTCGCTGTTCACCTGGGGTGAGAAGGGAAAAAAAGACCAACAACAAAACACACACAAAGTTAACCAATTGGTGTGGAAAAGGAGGAAAATTCAAATGGCACCAGTGTTTTTAGTTGACCAACAATCTATGTTCATAAAATGGGTGAAACCACGACAACTAACTCACAAATGTTTAATTGTGCTATCAATAGTCGGGTGTCGAGCGTACCGGGAGTTTAAACTGTAAAAAACAAGCAAACAAACACAAAAGCATACCTTGATCTCTGGGAAGGTGTTCTTGACAAGATTGTACATTTTGCGATGTGAAAGCAAGTCCCCCATAGTCAGAAGCTCAACGGCCCCCTCCTTTGTCTTTCCCTTTGATTTCTCGTTCAGATTGTTTTCATCGCGCACCTTCTTCACCTATTCAATAAAACACAAAATTATCCATCGCGCTTGTCACTACCATAACCAACACAGTAGGGGTACTTTTTTTTTAAGAAGTGAGGGTGTGGGGGGGGGGGTTGTTTTTTTAACCTCCTTGCCGCCAAGAACTGCAGCCTCCACCGACACAGCCAGAAGTTCTCTCAGGTCTATGTTCCTCCTCTGGCTGCAAAGAAAAATGGTGATGGTAAATTGGGCCAGATCAAGTCATTTTTATCTGAGGATCATAATTTGTGTCATCAAGTGTTATGAGCAGCTGGGAGAGCACTGAACTGACATCCTGTTAAAGACACACCCATCAGGATACACAGTACTGTATTTGTTTTTGTCAAACGAGAATTCCATATGGAAGTCGAACATACGCCTTGCTGTATGACGCTCCCCGCACCTCGCTTAAAACAACAAAATAGTACACTTGTTCGTGGCATAGCTAGGGAGTCTCATCACCCCATCCCGACCTCGTAATCCTCGGATAAAATGAGATCGACCGAGGTCATCGGGACACAGCGACTTGTATTACGCGTATTAGAACAGTGGGCGAGAGACTCACCTGAAAGCAGACAGTCTGCGGGAGATGACCCCGGCGTACACGTGGTATAAAATGCCGAGCGCAATAAGGCAAAAAACGGCCACGCCGAAAGGAGACAGGCGAATACCCATCGGAGCCATACTGGCCAAAATCTATCTTAGTGATGGGAGAAAAGCGAGCGATCGTTCAAACGCTACGTGACGTGGCTATTGCGGCCGATGGAGAGCCTTTAAATTGCCAACCGAAGCTTCGTCACACACGGACTAATTTGGGTGGATAGGCATGCGAAGCCGCTAGATGAATACCAGAACATACCAAATAAACTGTCAATGCAGTACTGTCCCCCCCACCCCCTAAAAAACAAGCTCTTATTCCAGTTAAAGGTTCGGTCGTTTAGCGCTAAACAAGACTTTACGGATCAAATTATTCTAACTTCCGATCGTGTCTTCCCTTTCATTGGACCAATTTGTTGCTCTGAAATCCGTAGAATCTAACAGCGGTTTCTGTCGTGTCGAACGTAGACCTGTACAATCCTGCCTCTGTTCACTCATCTTCCTTTTCAACGACCACCAGGGTCAGATGACGCGCATCTCTTCCGGGTTGCTACTGACGCCATCACTGTGGGACACACATAAACGACATACTAAACGATTCATATTCATCTCTCGCTCTCTTTCTCTCTCACACAAATAAAAGGTTTGTGGAATCAAAAAATACCCCCTGTGTCCGAATGTCCACCCTTGTCCCCTAACCATATTCACGATATATTCTTGCACTATATAGTAGACCCTACCTCGCCGAATAGCTGAAGCTGTACATCAGGCAAAAATGGGAAAGAATTTACCGACGTTTCAACAATTCGTGCACTCACTTCCCAAACGTTTATTGAAAATTGTCTAAAGGTTACGTAACAGTGGCAAACACGATCCTGTCTCACTTTTTTTGGAACCCACTGCAGCCACAGAATTCTAAGTTCATGATTATTTGCCAAAAACAAAGTTCATCTGTTTTAACATGAAATATCTCACCTCTGTCGTGTATTCAATTAAATATAGGTGAAACATGATTAGGAAATCATTGTAATCTGTTTTTATGATCGACACAACATTCCAACTTCACTGGATTTGGGTTTGTATTTAAAAAAAAAAAGACCATTGAACATTTGACATCAACATGGGGGCGGGGAGGGGGTTACATTTACAAATAATATTGTTGCAGTTGACCATTACAGAGCCATAAAAAGGGATTTTTAATGATGGTGCAAGAAGCAATGCTGTTCATTAGAAGCAACACGCATAAACCGTATGTTTGATAGTCTAACTCCATCATGTTGAAATCATCTCCATCACATCAGGTTTTTCTTTGTTTGTTTTTTTTAACTTTCCCCTGAGACTGGGAAAATTCTATAATCAAATCTATAATCACTTATCATAGTATATTACGTATTCATGATTGCATTTTCATGATTATTATGTAGGTTTTTTTTTGGGGGGGGGGAGGGGTTAAAAAATAAACTCCCCTCCCAGCATGCATTTCAATGGGCATCAATGAAAAAGAATGCGGAAGGCTTTTCCTTCCCTATTATCTTTGTTCTAAATCTCCACACTTTCTATCGGGTCCTCCTGTCTCTGCTGGCCACTTGACTGAAATGTGGTAGGACTTCAGCTCCTCATCTGACACAAAGTCTGGGGCGCGACTCATCAGGTCATGACCGCGAAATGACTTTGGGAAGGCGATGACATCACGTATGCTGGAAGCCCCCACCATGATGGAAACCAGCCGGTCCAAACCTTCAAAAAAAAATAATAAATGCACGTATTGTATTTTTAGTTGCGAGATTTGATTTTGTTGTAGTTCCCTTGCGCTGACAGAAGATCTTTTTTTTTCTTGAATTCACTCATTGCTCTGAATTGCTTTTCAAAATCCTTCTGTTCATTGACGTATTACTTCTAATTTCCATCATTTGGAATATTTCAAAATATTTTACTGTTAAAAAAATGAAAAACATCACATTCCTTCTCCAGTTTCATTCACCAAAGAACTTGTTTCATCAAATGAGTCACGGCCCCCAAAAAGGGGGTCAGGGAGAAACAGCTGAACAGAACTGTGCAGTTTGTTTTAACTTCCTAAACTTGAGTCCTGCGTGGAATCTTACCAAGCGCAATACCGGCATGTGGTGGCGCGCCAGAGTCCAGAGCCTCCAACAGGTGAGAAAGAACAGTGGGATCCTCCTGAGGAGAAAAACGCCACAACTGTTGAGTTTTTCTCCACGCAAAGGGGATTTTGGGGAAGAAGCCAAACCAATTGTTGGAAGCGTGCCTCAGGAGCAAGTTTGCCATATCGAGCGGATGCGTCCGTGTCAAGTTTTTCACCTTGAGGATATTCTTTAAAACGTGAAGTTGCTCCGAAGCCTTGTGGATTCGAACCGAACCTCCTCCAATCTCACAACCATTCAACACGAGGTCATAGTGCTGGCCACGAACCTCATATGACAAAGAAGAAAAATCCAGACACAACTACATTACCGAGTTCATTATTCAGTCATTCCAATACGAGAGCAATATACTTTTTCTGGCTGCGTGTAGAGTAATGCTGTGTCCTCTGGCGCCGGAGCGGTAAATGGATGATGGGCAGACTCCAGCTGCTCCGGCTCGTCCTTTTTGGGCAAGAAGAGGGGGAAATCCACAACCCACAGGAAATGAAAGGCCGAAGAGTCGCGGACTGTCAAGCCATGAGACTCCAGGAGCTCTGCGCACTGTAAACGAAGACTCCCGAGCATTGGGCGCTGAGAATAAAGCAGATACGCGATGGTTAATAAAAGACGCCTAGACAGTAGTAATACTTTTTCTACAACTCAAGTGTATTTTTCTAGAGGGCTTGAAAACAACCACCGCTGTATACAAAGTGCTGTACATGGAGCAAAAATAATTCAGACAACAATCAATGAAATACTGAATGAATATCGAAGACACTGGAAAGCACAAAAGCAGTCCAACTAAAAATCAAGTCTCATGCCAAGTCAGAAGCCAAAGACTAAAAATTGAGATTTAAGACAAAGATGGGCAGCGATCAGCGGGGACCGGCAACGGCAAAGGCAGGCTCCATCCCCTCGGAGCCTGCGCTTCAATTCTCGCTACCCCCTCTAGTGTCTGGTCCGCAGACCCGAGGCACCGGGCAGGGAGCTCAGAGAGGGAAGGTGTGCTGAGGCCATTTCAAGAGTTGAAAAGAAATAATAAGGCTGAAAAAGAACTCTAAAATGGAGAGGGAGCCAGTGAAGTGCTTCCTCTTACGAGTACCAGCCAAGAGGCGAGCAGCGGCATTTTGGACCAACTGGAGATGCTTCATGGAGGAGTGGCTGACTCCACGAATGACTGTTTCAAAGTGCTCACCAGAGAAAGGAGAGCCTTGACTTCAGCCAGCTGCTGTAGATGAAACAAGTTGGACTTAACAACGGCACCGATTTGCCGGTCCGAGTTCAAAATCGCTGTCCAGTTGAAGACCCAAGTTACAGACTGTTGGCTTACGAGAAGGAGCCGTGGGGCCCCGAGTCGGCAGGATGGGATGGACGAGGGCCACTGGGACCAAACCCCATCGCTTCTGTCTTCTTTCCATTGAAATTCAAGAGATGGCGTGCCCTTCCAGGGTTACTCATGCATGGTTTCATGAGGGGCCCATTTCATACCAGAACTTCAATGGGACCAGCGGCGATCAGCAGCAGGTCTCCTGGTTCGGCGGCCGTCTTCCGCAGTACAGCATCAGTGGCGGGGCCTGACAAGAGTTTCTTCAGAGGAGACTTCAGGGTTCCATCTTCTCTGACCAGCACTAAACTCACCTCCTTGGGACAACACAAAAGTTCATGTCGGGTGACTAGATTTGGGCTCACACTCACTCGCTCGCTCACTCTTGGCTTGGGCCTTGTGTGGCGTTTGCATGCTCTAAATTGGCCGTTGGTGGCAATGTGTAAGTGAACGGCTATTTGGTCTTTCTGCCCTGTGATGATAGACTGCCGACTAGTCCGGCCGCAAGTTGACCGGACGAAGTTTTTCAGCTTGACTCACTTTTTATTTATTTTACTTTTTTAAACCCAGACTATTATTTCAGTGGCGGTGACATTCCCCCCTCGCCCACCCTCCATTTAATTTGTCAAGTATTATTTCCTTTCAGAACCCTCCTGAAAATACAAACAGACCATGGTAAACTGAAATGCATTAATAGATATTCAAGACTTTTATAAACTGAATCAACTTATCTTCTAAGAACAAAACAGAACCTCTTTGGAGTCTCATTTGATTTATTTTGCAGTATGTAGGCACCAAAGAGTGAAAAGAACTACCCGGTACCTTGAATATGTAACATTTTAAATACTTTATTTATTTAACTGTACTCATTTGAACACAGACACACACAAAAATAATACGACTACTAATGGTAATAATAAAAATACTAATCACAGGCAATCGCCAATCATCCTCTTACCTGGTTAAAATGAGTCTTGGATGTTTGTTTCAGTTCTTCTAAATCTTTCCCCGTGAATAGTTGCTGAAAATAAGTTGTAAAATTGTCAAGCTAACAAGAAAAGGAAGTGATCCTGTTCTCCCAAAAGAAAAAAGTTTGCTCTTACTGCTCCCCTGGGCACACAGATGGCCAAAACAGAGCTTCCCGCTTTGCTGACAGCCGATTTGAAGAAACCGATATCGGTGGACAGGAAAACGTCTCGGAGGTCCGTCAGCTGAATGCGAAGGAACGGCAGAGAGTCAACGTTAACCGTGCAGGAGAAACATGGTGGCAAAAAGTTGGGGATTCTCATTTGACAAAACCAGCTTCTTGTGGGCATTGATTGATAAGTTAAAAACAAACAAAAAAAACAGTGAATTACGGTATGAGGAGCGCTGTGAATAACCTACGGTGACTGTTCAAAAATGGATTTCCGTAACTCGGTAGACAAACAGCATTTGGGTTCCAATTTTCATGGAAATGATCTTGCAAATGTCGATTGAGAATCACGCAAGAAAGGGAGAAAATGTTCATTTCAAGCGCCATAGTCAACTAAAAAATAAAAAGTGACTTCCGAAATGCAAGCTTAAAAAAGTCGCAGATGAACAAGAAATTTCGTCTGAAGGCCACGACAAAGCCCACTTGAAGATTCAGGATTTGTGTTCACAGATGTCATCCAGGAGACAGAAGTAGTGCACCTTCATGCCAAATCTGGTATCAGGTTTGTCCACCCCATAGTCCCTCATGGCCTCTTCATACGTCACGCATGGGAAAGGAAGCGGGAGCGGGCCTTTCTCTGCAGGCCACGAGTATTCCAACAAACCTTCCACCAGGGACATGATGCCCGCCTGGTCCACAAAAGACATTTCGATGTCGACCTGTAGAGTCACATTTGCAATGAGGCGGAGGGGAAAAAAAATAAAATAAAATCAAATACATTTCCAGCAATGGAAATGACTCTTCTGGAGACGTGTCGAGAAGGCGAGACATCGTTACCTGGGTGAACTCGGGCTGCCGATCCGGTTTGGAGCCTTCATCTCGATAGCACCGAGCTATCTGGAAGTACCTGTGTCAGTCACCGTGCACATTTTACTTGACGTGTACAAGAGCAACTATTACACCAAATATTGATTGATTTATTTTCCTCCTAATTTAAGTGCCTTTTTTTTTTACTCATTATTTAACCCAATGCCGGAAGTGGGTCATGGAAAAACCATCCCTCCCACCGCTAAGCTTCGAGAGGAGCGACTGCAATGTCCCACCTGTCAATCCCAGCCACCATTAGAAGCTGCTTGAACTGCTGAGGACTCTGAGGGAGGGAATAGAAACGACCCGGGTCTCTGGACGGAACCACAAACTCTTTGGCTCCCTAAGAGCAGCGGGAAAAGACGCATTAGACGAGCCTCGGGGTTGGGAAGATCAAAAGTCTGGCTAACCTGCAATAATAAGTATATTTAGTTCATGCCTATTTCACGGAATCACACTGTACTTACCCCTGGTGTTTTTCTAAACAATGTTGGGGTTTCTACGTCAACAAAACCTACAAAGTGGAAGAGAAACAAACAAAAACAGAAGGTCAATTAAGAGGCGGTTCAGAGACCGGAGAGATGGATGGGACATGAGAATGCGAGCCAAGTACTGATAGTGCAGCGCTACACTTGTCCGACTGCGAGAAAAGAAGCGTGTTTGTCCAGCTCCTTGCCCCCCCTCAACAGGAGAAGCAGCGGAAAAAAATTGATGGACAGCCGGATGCAAAGAATATGGCCATTTTCCATACCGTGTATGTTGCAGAGATATTCTCTCATCCTCATCACAAGTTGAGACCTCAGTCGGAGGTTCTTCTGCAAGCTAGAAGACCTCAGGTCCAGGTAGCGAAACTGCATGCGTAACGATTCTGATTTCTGGGCAACAGAACAGATGGCAAATGATTGACATGAACAGCGTGAGGAGCGACGTGCGGCCGCTTACTTTCACAAAGTCCTTAATCTCAAACGGCACGAGCCTCGGGGTTGGGAAGATCAAAAGTCTGGCTAACCTGCAATAATAAGTATATTTAGTTCATGCCTATTTCACGGAATCACACTGTACTTACCCCTGGTGTTTTTCTAAACAATGTTGGGGTTTCTACGTCAACAAAACCTACAAAGTGGAAGAGAAACAAACAAAAACAGAAGGTCAATTAAGAGGCGGTTCAGAGACCGGAGAGATGGATGGGACATGAGAATGCGAGCCAAGTACTGAAAGTGTAGCGCTACACTCGTCCGACTGCGAGACAAGAAGCGTGTTTGTCCACCTCCTTGCCCCCTCTCAACAGGAGAAGCAGCGGAGAAAATGGATGGACAGCCGGAGGCGAAGAATATGGCCATTTTCCATACCGTGTACGTTACAGAGACATTCTCTCATCCTCATCACGAGTTGAGACCTCAGTCGGAGGTTCTTCTGCAAGCTAGAAGACCTCAGGTCCAGGTAGCGAAACTGCATGCGTAACGATTCTGATTTCTGGGCAACAGAACAGATGGCAAATGATTGACATGAACAGCGTGAGGAGCGACGTGCGGCCGCTTACTTTCACAAAGTCCTTAATCTCAAACGGCAACTTCTGGCACACATTGAAAACTTCCACGTCCTCCGCAAGGACTTCTACGTCTCCAGTTGGCATCCCCTGTCATAAAGGCAACGTGATGACGACAGCATCTCCGCAGACACCAGCCACAAAGCAGACAGCCCCGAAATCATCAGAGACTTCGCTCTGTTTGCGAGCGCGTAAACGCCGTACCCCCGCGTGACTTCATGGAACTGGGCAACGGCCTCCGTTTAACTCGCCAGGGTAATTGAATGAAATGAGTTTGGTGGCTTCCGCGCGCTTATTCGGGTAACGCGTTCAAGAAGTGAGGTCATGAGCAGACAGTCAGGCTCCTTGAGGACACTTGGGCAAATATTTCTCAGGAGCGCGTGACGGATTCTCACCTGAAAAGACGGATCGCTTGCTGGCACCTGAGAAAACAAAAGGAGACCACATGGATGAACCGAAAACCACAATGACCCTGCAGTAAAATTCTAACACACACACACACACACATACACACACACACACACACACATATATATATATATATACATATACATATATACATATATTTATATTTATATACACATTTTTTTTGGGTGTGTGTGTGTGTAAGTCAGCAGGAATCAAACGGCCATCGCCAGATAATCAAGACAATACTAAATACAATCATGTGGAACACTTACTTCCTGCTGAGGTATAAGTACTTGGGTCAAGCCGCTGAAGTCTCGTAGAATGACAAACAGGTCTTGTCTGCTTAGGACACAAATAGCAATTGTCACCATAAAACAAGGAACATTGCCATGCCCAGGCACGTTTTTCTTGAACTAGTACCATTTTATTCATTGAACTACTGTGATTGTGTTGGCTTCAGTGTTTTCTCTCATATTTGAAAGCACCTCAGGTATTGGACCCATCCACACAATGTGACCTTCTCTCCAATATGCTCAGATCTCAGTTGTCCACAGGTGTGACTCCTAAAAGACAAAGAGCTGCTTCCTGAGGACAAAAAAAAAGTGACAGTGACATAGTTAACACTCTTTTTTATGACATTTTATTTACAATAAACTGTTACTGAATACTCTATAATAGTTGCGCCGTTCAATACAAAACTTTTAAGGTGTTGTCTTATCAGTTATCATGCTGCTTTACGTTTGTCTCTTTTGACACATCATTTAAAAAAGAAAGAAAAAAGAAAAAGAATATAATTATATAAGGAGTGACACAAGTGTATTTGCTGCTGATGTACTACAGGTAAATCTGATTGATTGTATCAGACCTTATCGACACATAATTCTGCTTGCGATGTACCTGTGATCGAAGAGTTGGATGCGTGGGAATTGTCGAAGCAGCTCGGGTGTTTCACTTGTGGTCTCCCGATAAGGTTTCCTTGACCTGAAGTCGAGGTTATGTGGCGATAAGAAATTCCATGAGCTCCAAGTGCACGGAGTGTCCTCTGCACCATATATCTGCATGTTGTGGCCATTACGTATTCATGAATTGTACTACATGAAGATAATTTCTATGCGTGGGATATGCCTCGTTTCGAGGATCAGGGCGTGTAAAATATGATCTGCCTTCAGAGTCAAACAAACAAAAAACCGTTGGACAAACTGTTCGAGGTCATATCTTTATCAATTTCTGATTCAATCAAATTAGACCCTCTGTGTTTTAATTACGCATGGTCAAGGATGGCGCAGAACGGAGAGAAGCCCGATCGGTCCAATTCCTCCCTGTCTCATGCCAGACCGGTTATAGTTCATTCGCTGCCTTAGCGAAGATCTCGTTCAAATTCAATAGTACTTTAAAAAGGTAACCACGTTTTTTTTCAGCCCTTCAGTCAAACGTAGCGTTATCCTTTGGAAACACCATAACATTGTGCGGAGTTGTGCACCCCCGCCCTAACTCACATGGTTTCGTCCAGTTTCTTCTTCTCTTGAATCTATTCGCAAATTGAAGCGAGAGCGCCTCCAATTGGCTATGACAATACAGCATGCAAGCACGCCGACGGTGGTCCGTTATTAAAGCTGTGACATTAAACAACACTGCACGGTATCAAACAGACAATAGAGTTAGTGCAATGTTTTGGTTTTTCGGTACCGTGTCAAATTAAGTTCGTGGCGGAATAGTTAAAAGTTCTGTCCACACAGATGTTTGTTTTTCGTTCATGATTCAATTATTTGCATAGATGCCGCGATATAGTCTTTGTCCATAGAGTGGCGCTGATATACATGAAATATTTCCGTTTCTCAATTATATCAGGAAAGCAAAAAACGTAACGCTCAAATGGTAGCATTGTTCATTCTTCAGTTTCCCGACATAAAACAAATCAAGATTCAAATCAAGACGAAAATTGTAAATCGACCACAAATGTCTTTCTCGGGTCCTGTGCTGGTGTTGCACACACGACTCCCTTTCTGCACACATCGATAAAAAATGTCATTAAAAACTTCATTAATCTTAAGTGTCGTAGCCTAGCAGAGGGCGCTCAGTGTGCGGCGTATCAAATAACAGCGTTTAAAATTCCGTGAATAGAAAAACATCAACTTTTCGTCGTTTGAAATGGCTCAAATCATAACTTTCTCGATTAACGCTGAATCAAAGTTGGTCGAAATTCCCATACCCATCATGCACCGCGCGGACCCGGAGCTCTGCAAGTGATCTATTGTGGCTGGCATGAAAGTGCACTTCCTTGATGATCCACAAGAGGTAACCGTGAGGTTAATGATGTTGTGGCCATTACGTATTCATGAATTGTACTACAGGAAGATCATTTCTATGCGTGCGATATGCCTCGTTTCGAGGATCAGGGCGTGTATGAGGTTAATGACCACTTCGGATCAGCCGCCATTCCGATTGTATGCCTCGAACCCGACCGAAATAAATAACATGGGAGGATATTGGAAAGGTTCATAATATGTGTAATTACGAAATATCAGCGTTGATTTATAGATTCTGTTGTGCTCCCTGTGTCATTCTTGGCCCTATTTTTCAATGTGTTTTAATAACAGCTCGAATATCACTTGACAAACAAACGTGCTGAATGAAAAGGATCGAATTTCAGGGAGAGCGCGCCTGCATAACAATGACATCATCAGCCAACTGTCGCCTCCCTGTCTCATGCCAGACCGGTTATAGTTCATTCACTGCCTTAGCGAAGATCTCGTTCAAATTCAAAAGTACTTTAAAAAGGGAGCCACGTTTTTTTCAGCCCTCCAGTCAAACTGAGATCAGATGGTCAAGGGAGCTGCATTTCTGCCAGTTGTTTCACTCCCTGGATGGATCTCTCTCTTTCTCTCTCCTTCAACTTAGCGTTATCCTTTGGAAACACCATAACATTGTGCGGAGTTGTGCACCCCCGTCCTAACACATATGGTTTCGTCCAATTTCTTCTTCTCTTGAGTCTATTTGCAAATTGAACCGAGAGCGCCTCCAATTGGCTGTGACAATACAAGCATGCAAGCACGCCGACGGTGGTCCGTTACTAAAGAACAACACTGCACGGTATCAAACAGACAATAGAGTTAGTGCAATGTTTTGGTTTTTCGGTACCGTGTCAAATTAAGTTCGTGGCGGAATAGTTAAAAGTTCTGTCCACACAGATGTTTGTTTTTCGTTCATGATTCAATTATTTGCATAGATGCCGCGATATAGTCTTTGTCCATAGAGTGGCGCTGATATACATGAAATATTTCCGTTTCTCAATTATATCAGGAAAGCAAAAAACGTAACGCTCAAATGGTAGCATTGTTCATTCTTCAGTTTCCCGACATAAAACAAATCAAGATTCAAATCAAGAAGAAAATTGTAAATCGACCGCAAATGTCTTTCTTGGGTCCTGTGCCGGTGTTGCACACACGACCCCCTTTCTGCACACATCGATAAAAAATGTCATTAAAAACTTCATTAATCTTAAGTGTCGTAGCCCAGCAGAGGGCGCTCAGTGTATGGAGTATCAAACAACACCGTTTAAAATTGCGTGAATAGAAAAAACATCAACTTTCCGGCGTTTGAAATGGCTCAAATCGTAACTTTCTCGATTAACGCTGAATCAAAGTTGGTCGAAATTCCCATACCCATCATGCACCGCGTGGACCCGGAGCTCTGCAAGTGATCTATTGTGGCTGGCATGAAAGTGCACTTCCTTGATGATCCACAAGAGGTAACCGTGAGGTTAATGACCACTTCGGATCAGCCGCCATTCCGGTTGTATGCCTCGAACCCGAACGAAATAAATAACATGGGAGGAAATTGGAAAGGTGCATAATATGTGTAATTACGAAATATCAGCGTTGATTTATAGATTCTGTTGTGCTCCCTGTGTCATTCTTGGCCCTATTTTTCAATGTGTTTTAATAACAGCTCGAATATCACTTGACAAACAAACGTGCTGAATGAAAAGGATCGAATTTCAGGGAGAGAGCGCCTGGATAACAATGACATCATCTCATGGAGATCAGATGGTCAAGGGAGCTGCATTTCTGCCAGGTGTTTCACTCCCTGGATGGATCTCTCTCTCCTTCTCTCTCTCTCTGCCTGGCTATCTAAAAGACACCAACCACCAAATATAATTTCTTGTCGCTTCCTTATGTCTCGTTGTGTCACTTGGTGCAAAGCAGAATTTTGAGAATGCACTCATAATTGTCCTTAGGGTCCATACAAAAATTAGCATATACCATCGACACCCAAGGGGGCTGGTTAAATGGCAAACTTGAGGGTGACAGCAACGCTCCCCCAGACTGAGTCAACGGGGACTCAGTCAGACACACTAGCAGGCGCGCACCCCCAGCGCGCGGCACATTTGTGACATTGGCCTTCAGTGAGCCCGACTTAATCCACCATTTTCTATTACAATGATGCAATATAAACCACAGGGACGTATCGTGACCAAAATTCGGCCTGGAAATCTTCGTCACCCCTAGAGTGGGGCATTCTTTACGGCGGCTGTCACGCCCCAAAAGGTAATCGGCGTCGACGTGGGGTGTGGCGGTGTCTCCCGGCCGCCCAGGAATCTCACGGAATTCCCGGTGGGCCCCATCCCCCGGATAAATCGTCAATATTACCACATCCCACACCCCTTTCACATCTGCAAGTCTTCGAGTGCAGCTGTATTGAACTCGAACGAGACCCATGTTACCATGGTAACGATCGGTTTCCAGCTGTTAGTCTTCCCCATTTGGTCGGCAGGAACCCATCTTTAAGGACTTGAGGTTTGGAACAGGAGGTTTATAGATTGAGTTCGGGTAGCAAGATGTTGTCTGCCTCCTCATTATGTCAATTTTGAGCCAGGGAACGACCCCTCGCCCTAAGCCCCCACACTCCAAGCGCAGCTCGAGAGGTGCGGCACGAGCTCATTCTGATGTCACTCCTTGTACAGCACAATACGCTTGCATGTGTGCGATCTGGTTCTCTGTGTGCTGTGTAATACAAACACAGCATCGTGAAATACGAATTTCCCCTTGAGGGATTCTAATCAGTATAAGAAATGGAATTAAAAGTGAATTAAAATGAAATGACACCTGCTGACCTACTTCTCCACCCCCTCACCTCCTATTTCCACCAGTGTCCTGCTGCATCTATGATGACCTCATAGCCGCACCCGGTCCGTGTGTGCGTGCGCGTGTGTGTTCAATGATGCGGATGATCCACTGATCTGTGATTGATGCGGTGTTCCCCCTCCCCCCTTTTTGCAAGGCTCCATTTTCCTCTAGTACCTCACAATTTATGGGGAGGGGCGGGGGGTTGTCGGTCGTCAGGGACCCAGGTGAGAAGAGCATGAGGAGGAGCGCACACACACTATCAAGCAGTGTATGGCTACAACGCACAGCTGACTCCCAGTGACGTCAGTGTTTTGAATGGTGTCATGGACCGCACACGGAGGTATGACAACCACAAGCAGGATAAAATTCTGTCATAAAATTCCAGAATGCTTTCTTTCACTTTGTACAAACAACAATGGAAGTCTGCCTTTGTTTCTCCCAAGTGGATGTCGAGTGTCGGTGCAAAAGGTGACATCACACAAGCAGCTGTGAATGGAGACACAGTCTCACAAAGCAGAAAAAAAAACTGTCTCACAAAGAACCCCCCCCCACACACACACACACACATGCAAAGCATTTGATTTAACAGCACTTCCTCCCCCAGCTAAAAGGAGGCTACATTGCGATCGATCGCAGCAGTGCCACTCACAGGTTGTCAAATCTTTTGAGCTCAACAGTTGATCTCTTCTTTCGTGGCTGTGTGTTTTATTCATCCAACAGTACATGGTCTCGTAGATAAACCCCTTTGCTCTGTCCGACTGGCCCCCCAACAATGGGTCTTTGATAGGCCTTTGCCATCGCCCCTTTTGTTGGTGCTCGTTCGGGGCCTGTCCCCAGGTGAGCACCAGTCCTTTCTTTTTCCACCAGCGAAATCGGCTCAGCTTGAAACGGGTGCTTCAGCTGGCCTCAACTATTTGTTGGTTCCAGAAGACTCTGGCAGGAACTACGTCAGGGGGCGGGGTTATCATGATGAAGGCAGAAGTAGAGGAATGAGTCACTGGACACAAGTTTTGCACAAACAGTCGAAGAGTGATGATGAGTGATGATGGACATGCATGCTATTTTTTTTTTTTTTCATAGCCCCTGTCCTCATTTGTGCGATGGGTGAGCTACCCCAGCCGACTTTCAGCGTCAGGCCAGGTACAGCAAGCACTGGTTCCTAGTCAATGGCGGGTCATGTATGAGGCTAGCGACACTCGCAATCATACCTTTGAATAATTTGCTTTTGGAATGTGCGAGGAAGCCAGATACACACAAGCACAGAGAGAAGATGCAAATTCCACACAGGAAGGCCGGGCTCCAGATTCAGAGCCACACGTGCTAATCAATAGTACCCCGTGCTTGCCGAAATTGACCTTGAGAGTGACCCGTGTTTATTTGATG